ATAAACTGAAAACTAACTGCAATGTAGCATGATATAAAAGAAATATCAGACATCATAATAATATAATGATTCTCGAACACCCATCCGGATCAGGTGCTCCTTAAATGACCTTTAGTGTGAGGATTTCTTTATCTATATGGGAAATCTCAATAGCACCTACCTTAACCTTCTCACATACGAAAATGTACTTTTATGTCTATGTGCTTATTACACTTGGTCAACTTTTCATTTTTCAAATACTTTGTGAAAACTTCAATATCACAAAAAAGAACCAAAGGCTTGTGGATAATGTCCACAACCTTCAAAACTGCAATAAAGTTTCAACCACATGGCATGTTTGGTTGCTTTATAACAACTAACCAACTCTACATACATAGTGGAATATTTGATAATAGACTGCTTAGAGCTACACAATTATCTACTCATTGTGATAATTGTCTACTCTTTGTTGGAACCTATGATAATGTTTATGATAAAGATATTATCAATAATGTTTTAATGATCATTATCATAGGTTCCCATATTTTATTCAATTCTCTCAATAGTGTTGGCGTCTTGCAGATACTTGAAAATATCATAGTAATTGAGAGACGAAGTAAGTGTGAAGATTAAAACTACTTTAGTATTTAAAAATTCAAAATATACATAACTAAAGTATTTAAAAATTCAAAATATTTATATAAATTGGAAAAAAAGTTTTAGTATGTTATAATACTTAATAGATTCTCTTAAAAATAATTTTTGTATATCTGAGACACCTATAGTGATGAAATCGCATAATGGATGAGTTTGAATAGTGAGAACTCTACAATGGATAAATGTGAAGACAATACTATATATAATGAATAATAAGTGACCAAAAAACAAAAAAACAAAAAAATATTTAAAATGTTATAGAAAAATTAAATTATAATTGTTTTTGTTCTTCAGCAATTTTTTTTTATTAGAAGTGATATAGAATTTTTAGGAATTTATTAGTTACATAAATATATAAATATAAAGTAATAAAAACTAAACTCTATTAGTAGTTGATATAGTGAGAAATAGAAGGAAAAAAGAATTATAATTCAACTAATTGATTTGAAACACGTTAGACATTTAATAATAGTATAGATATAGATATAGATATAGATTGATAAGGAAAATTAGTTGTTTAGTGCATATAGAATTCATAGGAGTCTATTAGTAGTTGATAGATTGAGGAAATAGAATGAGAAATGAATTCTGATACTAACTAATTGATTTGGAAATTAGTTATTTACTTCATATGGAATTCATATGAGTTTATTAATAGTTGACAGAGTGGAGAAATAGAATGAGAAAGTGGATCCACTCTGGTTTGTAGGGGTCTTGTGCACCAAATGACGTCGTTTTGGTGCACAGGCACGAAGCCCAATGTAGTCCCGTGTTGGGGCTCAGCCCACTTTGGGCTCCGTGCTGTGCACCAAAACGACGTATTGGTGTAAAGCACCATGCAGTTTGGAGGGGGACCAGGCTGCACAAAAGGAGTTTTCGTAATTTCTTTATAATGAGTAAGAGTAAACTGATGAAATAAGGGCGAGAGTTAATTGATCTAGTCTCGAGCCTATCTTTCATCACTCCTTTGATCGTATAGCAGCCGAAACAGCAACAACATATGCTCAAAGAGGATTAGGAACCTTTCCCCTGCGTGGACACGAACTATTACGCATATTTGGAATCTCTAAAATAGTCCTTGCTTGTTACACCAAGTTGGAGAACTTTTTGTAGAATGCAAATCCATTAAGCCAGAATCTGATAAACAATCATGAAACTCATCAAGAACAGCTTGAGGAAAGCGCAACTCGCTTGTTTTGAAGCTTTGCATCCTAATGAATAAAGAGACTTGCCCTACCTAGAGGCTTACGTTTTGATAAGGTTAGATTTGTTGCTAGATTGTTTGTAAGCGCCTTAATGCAGGGGTTCTTGGGAGGGTGGGGGGGCTCTTATTTCGGTGCCGCCGTTGACCTATCCACTGTACAGATAGACAAAAGATCATTGGGCCATGCGATCTTTCCATAAAATTATTACCCCATTTACCATAGAACAGCTTTCGGTTGATGGATAAGACAGGAATGTAATAGAAGGCTTCAAAGGTCATCCAGCTAGATCTTCTATTCAAAGCAATTAGTCCTCCTTCCTGTGCCCGGAGTTCCCCAAGTTCAAGGGATAAAGTGCTTAACAAATTAAGAAGACTTCCCTCTTTCTCTTATCTAGCTATGAACTTGTCTTGCATTTCATTCATAAGACTTTCTTGGCATATAATAAAATATTTAACAACTATAATTATAAATTTTGTAACTTAATGATTATGAATCCAAAATTTCACGTAAAGAACCCAAAAAAAAAATAATAATAAAATATCTATTTTTATATATTTACACATTTGTAAAACTAAACGGTGTTGGTTCAGAGTAGAAAGGGGTTTGTCTCTCATTCTCAACCCCGGTCCTAACCGGATTAGATGATAATCAAACTGTCCATTAAAAGTGGGCCGAGTAAAACTGACATCCCTACCATGTTCTGATTCAGGCAAGGAAAAATGTTGACCATAAACTCATATAATGGTATAGATTACCTTTTCTAGTACAACTCGTATTTTTTCCCCCTTCCCAAAAGCCCTTAATGTATAATGTTATTTGAACTTTCTTCCCAAATTAGCGAGTGGGGTTATTTTTAGTACTACCAACCATGAGAGTTGAGACAGCCATTGACAGCTTCCTTTTCTTGAGCGTCACGACAAATGTAGGGACCCCCTCCCCACAAAACAACACACAAAAAAGTGTATATATATATATATATTTCACTGACAGCTCATATGAGGTTAGAGCTCTACACACGGGTGAATAATTGGGAGAAAGCTACACTTACTCCTCCTGAGGATTGGCTCATGATTTTTAACAGCTTCCAACCGCCATCCAGTCGTTAGGAAAGTACACTGACAGCATAACAACATGCAAAAAGTCATTTTTACCCCTCCACTGACCAAAAAGGCATTGTTGACATCAATTAACAAGTTTTTTTTGGTTTGAGTAATAATTGTATTAAGAATGTTCAAAGGGGAAAAGCCTTTTTCATTTGGACGAAGTTGCCCATTTTTTCTCTTTTAACCTATGGTACATGGACTCGGGTACAGGTGTCGGACACGGGTATGCATTCATGTGTCGGACATGTCAAATCTCCAAATAGAATGACACACGGACACGGCTAAATATTCATTTTATTAATTATTTTATTTTATTTTCTAGAGTAAAATAATGTTTTTATCTAATATAATGTTTAACTCTTTTTAAAGTAATAATATAATGTAATTGACTAATTGGATATGTTTTTTTAAGTACATGTATAACCAAAAGTGTCGGATGTGTCCGACACGGGTACTTCACTACTTTTGAAGAGTCCATCTAACAGAGCTTTTAACATATAAGCCACACTAGTGTGTGTGTGTGTGTGTGTAAGCCACACATACACACGTGTGTATATATATATATATATTTCACTACACTCCTCTCTCCTTTCCAAGTACACAACTCATCTCCTCCTCTTATCTTTCCTTTGTTATTCTCCCCAAAGAACAGATTCTCAAAAATGAACACCAACAAGATGAAAACCAACAAACCCATGAACAATCTCCATTGCTAGCAGTAAGAGGATCCACCCCGCCCTTTGCTTCGTACCCTGCAAGCTCTTCGCCTCCTCGGCAGCAACGAATCGACGAGTGGATGTGATTCACTTACTGTAATAAACCAAGTACTCGAATTGTACAAAACACGGATGTTTGAGCTTGACAACGAAGGTTGTGTCGGAGGACAGAGTATGATTTAACCGCCCATACCTTGAAACCAAGGCAAAAGATCATCACATTCATCAATATTTTATCATCCCATTTTTAATAGAAATTTTTTGAAAGAAGCGTTTTAAATACACTGCACCAACGTGAAATATCAGTATGAAAACTTAAGCAATTCTTAGTCTCATTAACAACAGGGGTCATTGAAGAATAGTTCAATCCATAAAAGATTAAGCTGAATTAACATGACCCAGTTAACATCATAAAAAATAACAAACAAACAAACAAAAAAAAGCAACCGTTTCTGATTCTCACGGTATTAAAAGGATAAAGGAACACTTCATATAAAAATTAGCCAGATGAGGAAATCAAAAGAATAACTTGAAGCTGTGTGTAACCCAACTCACTGAAATGTGGGACAGATAATTTGCTTAGCCAAGTATAGATAGCAAAATGAACAGAGAGAGAAAGGTTCATAGCATACCATAGATTTGTACTGTATGGTACAAATCTGGGAGAGAAATGTAAGTGGAAGTCCGACCAGCTCTTGAGGTGTGACTGAAGCAGTCTTCTTTTTAATACCGAGGGGCTATAGACATTAGGTAGGAGAAGGAGAGAGAGAAGGGGGCTCAAGAATCTAATTGTTTAATCCAACTACTGCATGGGGTTTCTTTTGGTCATTTAACCTGAATAGATTTTCTTAATAAAATATGGTCATTTGATTGATGGGCAAGACTGTAGTTTCATGCACGAAGTTAGCATCTGTTACTGTCATAACTCTTATCAACCCTGACGGGTGTGTGTAGGTTTCTCCAAATTGTGCACCTGTGGATAATCAGGTCTAACCTCAGGGAGTGTTAGTGTAATTTACCCTATATGTGTGTGTGTGTGTCTTGCATTCCTTTGGATGTTGAGAAGAATTTGGTAAAGCGCGCGCACGCGTCTTGGATTCCTTTGGATGTTGAGAAGAATTTGGTAAAGCAGGGAAATGCTCAAAAAGTTGCTTTGGAAATGAATTATTATGTATTTTCTTTTCCTCCCCTGGCTAGATCCAACTGAAGCCTTGAAATTCATTCTGAGGGTTCCCGCTAGTTAAACCAGCCCATGTAATTGTTCATCCATATGGCATTCCTTTGTTTTGTATCTCATTTACTATGATTAATTTCAATAAATGGGGCCTTTTGTTTTGCAGAGCCGAGGACGTGCCCATGAAGACGAGGCAATTGAGAAAATGTTGAATGACCTATCCCTAATTAAGAAATTTGAGTAGCAGCAGCATTTTATGCCGAATGTATGTGAATCATGCAGTGATTAATATGTATAAATTGCTGTTTTATACTAAAAACTATACTGAGTAAGAGTCTGGCACATTTCTTTGTAATGATTTTGCATGGAGCTTATTTCATGGTACCCTAATATAGTAGCTACTACTAAAGTGAATATATTATAGTAGATTTGAGTTTGCAGTTAGATTTGATTCACCCTCCCCTCTCTCTATCTCAATCTCTCTCTTATAACTTGGGGAAAATATATAGAAATCTGTCAGATTTGATTCACCCTCCCCTCTCTCTATCTCAATCTCTCTCTTATATCTCTACATATGTGTATGTTCATGTACGCCTTTTGAGGGTGTTTTCATGTTACTGGTCTCGGTTTTATGGTGAGATCCTTTCATGAGCCACAAATGGCCAGAATATAAATACAAGCCCAAATGATTATCAGGTTTTTTTGTTTTTTTGGTCCTGAAAATAAGAACAGGCATACGGCATCTACACAACACATCCATTAAGGACAGTACAGATGTAATAAAGGCAAGCTATAAAATGGCAAACAAAACTTGAAGCCAAAAAAAAAACAAAAGAATACCAGGCTGCAGATTTGCTGAAAAGAACAACGGAAGTCACCACATGAGACGAGCATCAACGGGAGTGACACAAATGTTAGGTCATCAGCAAGGCGATTGCTCTAAACTTCCATTCACAAGGCGCCTCTGACGGGTGGAAAAACCATCCAAACCCCGCACAAGTCGGGGAATACAAAAACCGACATAGATCTGAGACAACAAGAAGAACATAGATCTGAGATCTAACCAGAGAAAGAAACACAAATCTACCCAGTCTGACCCACAGAACGTATGATTTTATTTAGCCTATAGAAGATAGAAAATATCACCTCTCTACTCCCATGGAAAGAAGCAGGGATAAAAAAGAGAAGACAAAGTGAGAGGTTGAAAGAGGGGGTCGGTTTATATTTATGCGGAAAATCATTTCAGTGGTGACCATACAAGACACCATTTTTAGTGGTGTGGACACAAGTTTGCTTCCTTGAATTATTTATTTATTTATTTTCATACAAAAAGGTTGAAGTATTAATTGCACCTACCCTTTTAGTGCAATTTTTTTTTTTTTTTTTTTGGATAAGTGCAATTCTTAAAGTTCTACAATTGTAGTTTGGTCATTATTTATAGTACCATGTTGAAAAAAAAAAAAAAAATACATATATACATATATATATATATATATATAGTAGGAGTACATAATTATACCTAATATACCTTGTAAATTGTTATAAGGGTAATTTGGTCATCACATTTAAATTAAACGGCTTATTTCACATAATTGTAGAATTTTTTACACAATATTTTCACATAAAAGGTTGGATATTATTTTTATAATATAAACGTGGCAGAGTGTCCAACCTCCCGTCCATAATCATTTTAAATGGGGTGGATCAAGTTATTTGGTTAACCCTTATTATTAATCATAGAAAAACTTGGCTAAAAAAAAAATCATAAGGCCTTCTTATAATTTTGTTATTTAAGGTGAAAGAAGGATATTCGCATAGTACTCTCCTCTCCAACTTTTTTCAACTAGCAAACACCAATGCGGTGAATTAACCTATTGAACAACCAAAAAGTTGCCACTTATTCCAATCTTTTATTTATTTATTTATTTTTTTTTAAAGTTAAAGCAATTACCCACACACTCCCTCCATCAAAGCTCGAACCCTCGACCTTTCCTTTGGGGAGAAAGAGGTGATACCACTAGGCCATTTGGTCATTCAGTTATTCCAATCTGTGTTGATCTGCATGTTTATTTAGCATTTCACTCGAGTAAATTTTATGATCTTTAAAGTTTTATTAATGTACATTGACCTCTTTTTTTATTTGTCAAATTATATTTACCTCTTTAGATTTGTATGTAAGAGTACATACAAATCTTAAATTTTAATTCTACCTTCTTCTTTTGTCCTCGCACAACTTAGGAGAGTGTCTCTACCAACTTGACTACCCAGCTAACCTGAATTCTAATTCTACGGCTGAAAGCCATATTTATTACAATCAAATAAAATATATATAATGACATAAACATAATTATAAACTTGATAAATCTTACTATAGAGTTAGTGTAATATACCTTAATAATTTACCTTTATACATATAACTTTATTTTGTGCCAAAACCAAGGCTCAAAGAAAATGCTTAGTTTGTAGTTTTGAAAACAGTAAACTCATAAAATAGAGAACAGTTTTCAGAAAAGTATAAAAAAACTGTTCTCTAAAAATAAATCTTTTTATAACTGCATATTTACAAAATAATTTTTAAAAAATTTAACCAATCAGAATTTTTTTGAACAATTTTCTATTTTCAGTAACTGATGGATGTATAATTTAAATACCCGCAGATAGGCGAAAGTTGTTAAATTAACGCACTATCTCACAATTACGTAGGTAAAGTGCAAAAAACCTCCTTCAACTATTGGTCATTTTGTAGAAAACCCCCCTAATTTATTAATTTGACATATAACTCCCCTAAACTAACCAATTTGGTGCAATTAACCCCATCCGGTGATAAGCCGGTTGAATTTGACCGTGAAGGCGCACATGATAGTCATGTGACAATCCAAATTTCTTTAAATGACCACACAACCTTTTACCTTTATACCCAAAACCACTTACCCAAACACGCCCTTATGCTAAATACACACTGTTCATCGTCAATACACACGCCCTTTACCTTCGATGGCGGCTTTGCCCAGCGATTCTAATCAGGTCCTTCGTGAATGAAATTATGGTATCTCTCTTGTCGTCGTCCTCTTGAAATGCGTCGAGCTAAGCCCGGTTGTCTGCGCAGTGGTGAGTTCAGAGCGAGTGGGTGAGTTCCAGTTTGGGGACCCGGGTCGTTGTGTTGATCTCGATGAGAAGCTCACAACCGAACCACCATGGCCATCGTCAAACAAAATCATAGACAATATACATTAGAAACGAATGATGAGTAAGCTCAAAAATTATCCCCAAACTTTGAAGGAAGAAACTGTACCCTACACACCGTTTACATGCGTGTGTGTGTGTGTGTGTGTGTGTGTGTGTGTAGAGAGAGAGGGACAGGCCTTTTGCTAGCATCCTGGATTTGACTTTCATAAGCAAAATCTGAAAATCGAAGTCCATTAGCAGACAAAGAAGATAAAAAAAAACTAACAAAATTTAATTGAGGCAGCACCACTCTAAGTCACAGCCGCCATCGCAGGTGAGCCCTCGCCGTTCCAGTTCACCGTTCTCCAAATTCGCCCATTTGACGGCAAACCAAGCAATCGTCGAAGCGACCTACAGAGCGATGAAGATTCACATCGTCGATTTTGGGATCGGGCGATGGCGGAGCTAGACTACGAAGCCAATGATCGGCGTTGAACAGAGATCGGCGTTGGTGACAATAGGGGAAGACTCCAGTGAAGGCGACGATAGCAGCGAGAACATCGGGGGGCGATGGCGGAGCTAGACTACGAAGCCAATGATCGACGTTGAACAGAGATCGGCGTTGGTGACAATAGGGGAAGATTCCAGTGAAGACGACGATGGTAGCGGGAACATTGGGCGGAGGATAATGGAGTGCTCGTCATTTCGTTCCGACAGCCGGAATAACCATGACCAACTCCAAACTGCCGTCGATGAGGCGCTACATTCTCGAGCTCTCTGCCACGATTCTGCCGCCGCCGACGACGTCCATGGTGGTTCGGCTATGAGCTTCTCGGAGCTTGGGTTTGATGGAGCGACGGCAGCGACAACAAGAATGCTCTGTCTTTTACTGAAACGGCGTAGTTTTATGTAAGGGGTAAAATTGTCTTTTATTATTTTTGTTTACAGTAATTGGCCGGAGATGTCACATTAGGGGTTAATTGCACCTAATTCAATAGTTTAAGGGGGCAAATTGTAATTCAGGGGGTTAATTGCACATGGCCAATAGTTGAAGGGAGTTTTTTTGCACTTTACCCTAATTACGATAAGGATTAAGCCTACATATTACAATAAGGATTAAACCTACAGATTGCATCCTAGTTAACCTAAGCCGTAAAAATAAAGGGGCTAATCGACGTTTTAAAGCATGCAATAGATCATAACTCAATTTTTTGATAATTCCAGAGAGATTACTTTGTATACTGACTTATTTGCCGGAGTAGACCGGAGCCTACTCCAACAGTAACACACCGGTGCATGTAGGATCACCTTTTCCCGTGGGTTGCACGGAATTCTGCATCAACGGTAACCAAACATGCTTCGAGGAATCTTTCATTTGCAATTCAGCTAAAAGTAAAAACAAAAAAAGATGGGGAGGGAGTGGGTATTTCGGTGGCGATACTTACAAGAAAGAAGAGAACAGAGGGCGATGAAGAGGAGCCAAACAAAGCCAACACCATTCTCATTGTCTGCCGCTGTCATCATGCTGTAAGCTCTCTCTGTCTTTCTCCTCGCCACTTTCTCTATCTGAAACCCTGTTTACGTATATATCTATATCTATATCTATCTATATATCACCTCCATATATTTTGACACTTTAATATACGCTTCTTTCTAGAATGTTATAACCATTGAATCACCAGACGCAAAACATTTCTCTCTCCGTTACAAACCCAATATCTCATCACATGGAAGCTAGCAAGGAGGTAACTCTCTCTCTCTCTCTAAAACATCATCATCATCTTTCTCTAAAACCTTATTGTTAAAACTCTTATTACTCTTTTATCTGCCCTGTTTCATCTTTGATGATGATATTTGTGTAATGAGAAGTAAATCATTCTTGTTTTCTCTCTATTAGTTTGTATTAACTTCATATCAAGAGAAAAATAAAATTTGATATTGTTACTACTTTAACCGAATTTAATTTTTCAATTTTACGTTTTTGAAAGTCAAATCATATACTATGTCTTTGCCGGAATTTTAGTTTTGTGTCTTCAGGCCTCTGCTTTTGTGTGCGTGCAATAGTAATTTTTGTTTGATTGTAGAGCAAAATACTGTGATTTTATTTAGATCTATTTATTATTTTCTGCTTGAAATTTTGGGCTGTGTAGGAGTTGGTTTTACTCCCATTTTTTGAGGAGTTATTCTTTGGAATTTATTTGATCAACCAACTTGTGTGAAGTTGAGAATCAAACAAACAAAATATGTTTTTTATTTTTTTTTATTATTATTTTTTTTCTTCCTGAAATTTCAAATTTTTGAAAAGGGGAAAAATATTAAATATCCCAAGGATGACAAGTTTTAAAAGTTGAAAACACAGAAAATTTTGTTATTATTTAAGTTTTTCAAGAAAGTGCTTTTTTTTATTATTTATTTATTTTCTACTTTGAGAAAATTTTAGGACCAAGTATATGTTATTGAGAATATCTGAGCTTAATCTATCGGAATTGGTTTTTCAGAACCCTTCAACACTACAGTTTATTGAGATTTTTTTACTGTGTATTTTTAACTTGTCCAGAATTGGAAGTAGTGTTCATTCTTTTGTTGTGATCAATTACAAATTTATGTTTGGAGAAGAAGAATGCGCCGTGGCTATCGGTGCCCCAATTTGGGAATTGGGACCAAAAGGGAGAATTGCCAGACTACTCTATGGATTTCACGAAAGTAAGAGCAATGAGGAAACAGAACAAGAGGGATGTCTCTAGAGCTAGCCTTGGAAATGAACAGGAGCTCATGTCAACCACTACCAAGTTGAAAACCGGCCATCGTGTTCTTCAGCATTACCATCAGAACCACTGTCCAGCTGTAAGATTTCTTGTCTTGCTTTGCTATCTTTACTTTATAATTGTGTTCTATATAGTATATAAATGGGTAGTTGTTGTTTGTTGCCATGACATTGATACTGTATTGAATACATGTATAAGGGCAGTAGTTGTTAGTTATTAATAAGGATATTGCATATTAATTAATACTTGTGACCACAAAACATATGTAGTGTGCTTATTTATGGAATTTTTTTTGAATAATGCTATTTTTAGAGCTCTGTCATGATGAGCTCTTCTTAATGAACATGAAAGGGCTCTCATGATATGTCTGCTGGGGGGCCCAAAATAGTTGAGAAGGGACACATACCCTTGTGTATCGGTCTTAGTTGACATCGGCGTGGAATGGCATTGCTCCTTATTTATCAAACATAGTCTACCGTGCTAGCAGCTAGAATCACCTGGCTATTTGAAAGGACACTCATTTCTCTATGTAATTTATCAATAAGTTGTAAAGAATTGTTTCATTCTATTATCTGTTGGGATATAAAAACCTTCATTATAATGATTTTGAAGCAAAAATTGATTGGAATTGCTTTGAAAAATTTAACAGCCAAAATTATAGAAATTGAAAGATATAGGTGAGTTCATTTGTGAAGAGTCGAAAAAGTGATTTTATATGTAATAAATGTGTTTTAAGTTATTCAAAAAATATCCTTTTATTGCATCTCATGTAGTTATTTTATAGGTAAATTATACCGACCTCCCCTAAAGATAGGCTAAATAATAATTTCCCCTATGTGTTTTAAAAACACTAGCCTCCTCTGCGGGTAATCTCAAAGTAACATTGACTTCCTTGTCATAACGCCGTTAGTTGGGATTGACGGAATTGACGATGTCAAGGTTTTAAAAAAAAAAACCCGGTTTTGCCCTTAGGACACTTAAAAATATATTTATGTTATTGTGTTGTAACGGTATAATGACTAAAATGCTCCCATTTACATAAAATAATTGGACAAAAGTGCCATTTGGTCAATCTTTACAAAATCCCCTCTCCCACACCCATTTCACCTCATGTCCAACTCTCCCTCTGTCACTGCATACTTCCATTTTTTCTCTCTCCCACACACATATTTTCACTACAAAATATCTGGGAGTCCTTGTGAACCATCTTATCACCTGTTGATGTTACTCCATTTACCAATATTTTCCCATTAGGATCAACATTACAACTAAATTCATCCGTAAGTAGAAGTCAATCATTATACCAATGTGTAGCAGTGATATATAATATTTATGAAAATTTGGTGACAAAATTACAAGTCAAATAATAATGATTGGGCGTCCAAACTTATATAAGATTAAATATAGTTTCAATCTAAAATCAGAAGACTCAATCATGAATTTTAAGGAACTAATTCTTGATAGTTCTTGATCAATTCTGAAAGCTTGAATTAAGCACTTTGAAACTGAATATTAAGTACATAGTTATTTCATAAACAAATAGACTTGTTTGAAATGTTATATTATAAAAACGTACAAGGATTTATCTTTTTATTCCAATTTAAGCACAATATTTTCTCCAACGCTGTGACGGCATAAAGAAACATAATTTGTCTAAAGGCCATAGTAAAGCTTTGAAAGGCAATTAAGAATTTTGTAATTGGTGGTATTTCAGTTCAGTCCAACTTACTCTCCTTTTCTGCACCAGGGAGAGAGGTGTAGCTTGAAACCAGTCTTAATAGTTCTGAAAGGTACATGCAACACGATGAGCTAACGATTTAGTGTTTGTAGCCAAAGCCTGCATACTTCATTCAAACCTTTGATCAAACCATAACTTGATGTGGAAAAGATGGAACAAACGCTGTGATCGATCATATATTTCTCTAATAGGTTTCCATTATATATATTTCCAGTAATTGGTTCTCTCTACGTTGATCATCATGGAGATTATGAAAAAACGTTGTGAAAAGATGAAAATGAAGACGACTTGACAAATAGTGAAAATGCATAGTAAAATGTGAAAATCCCAGGATTTATTTGGTTAAATAATTATATGTAAAAGTACATAGATAGTTTGGTCATTTCACACTTTCTATTAATCACATTACTGTCAGGGGAGGTTAATATTATATTTAAAAACTAAGGGGAAGTCGTCATTATTTAGCCTATTTTCAGGGGAGGTTAGTGTAAATCATCCTTATTTTATTTAATCTTCTAAACTGTGAAAAGTCAATATCATGTTCTCCTTAACCAGGTTCTAATAAGATGTATTGTTGATTTCCTTTGACAGACACGGAAGAGCATTCTCAGCTACTTCAATTGTTGCGCGAAAGCCTGAGATATATGAATCAATTTCACATATATTTCACACTTTTCTGTAATGATGCTGTGTATTGCTATGGCTTTCTTTCTAACATGTTTCGTCACCCTTTTTTTCAAGTGGGAATGATAATGTGTTTGTAAATTTGATGTCTCCCGTCTTTAATTTGCTGCCTTATTATGCATTGAATATGTTGATTAGCTAATTGAAGGACAAATAAATTATGGTTTTCATAGATGAGCCATTTATTGAGTGTTGTCGAGTTTTTGAGAGAAATGAAATTGAGATTTTTCTTAGTTTATTTTTGTTGATTTGAACCACACATGTTCACGGTTGAGTTCTCTTTATGATTGTTGGTTGCGTAAGCTTTGCTTGGGAGTACATTCAAATTGGTCGAAGCAGCAAATTTCATTATGTGGAAGAAAGGGAAAGGGAAAGGGTCATTGCAAGAAGAGGATCATTGTAAAGTGATTGCATTGGTATGTATGTATTTGCATGTAGGTGTACATACAACCTGAAGCTATAACTAAAAAACCAGATCTGCACAGATCATATGATGGTAATTCACTTTGTCTTTGAGTACTCCTACTTCCATAGATTAGAAGGAATTTGAGGCCAAGAAGATCTCAAGCTTGACAGTTTCTTGAGTCCCACATCGGTTGCGAGTGAAAAGGGTGAGAGAGAAGATGGGCTATAAAAGAGAAGGCCTAAGATTACAATAATCATACCTTTCTCGGCCTTTTGGCTAAGATCAAGTGTAGTATCTGTTCTTATCAGTTTAATATCTGATACGTGAGCCAATGGCTCACACGATATTAAATTTATTTTTTGAGGGGAAGGATCCATCACAGTAGCTTGCTGCTGGGGTCCTTGCGCGTCGCCTTGGTGTTGCACTATTACCTTGGCCTGGCGCACCCCACCCAAATTAAGTTTTAAATTTTATTCTTCAGTTGAAATGGGCTATGAAATATTTGATTTAGGAATAGGCCCATTAAGGACATAGTAACAGAAAATGATTATTAAAATTGGGTTCAACTAAATATACATATTTTTTTTATTAAATAGAGAATCAAAAAACACGCTGGCGGGGTCATAATCACTCGTGCTTTACCTAAAAAAGCCAGACGAGCATGGGAAAATGTAGTTCGTCCTGCAAATATTTTTCCTTGCTTGTGCTGCTGTCAGAGAATCAAAGAGAATGTATGCTGAACCTCTTCAAAATTTCAGGGGAACTTGTTTCCGAAAACAAGGAATGTCAAAAAATGTTGATCCCCAACTCCCTATCTTAATTGAGCGAGGTCAGACTTGGTCTTTTAACATTGTTGTGATAGTCTTAAACTGTAAACTCAGCAATCTCACGCTTGGCGGCCCGAATTTTAAAGCCATCTCTACATTACTTGAGTGTCATTTTCGTGCGTTCATTTTGCAGAAAGTCTCCAGTACCAGCTACCCATGCTGGCTACAATTGCTCAAACTGGAGACGGGGATTTCCATCATCAGTTTGGATGGTTGGGAGCTTCACAAATCAAAGTTAGAAATACAATTACCACCAATGAATGTTAACATAACCCCTTTTCTAAAAACTTGAATGCTCTCTCTCTGCATGTAAATCTCAAAGTCCAAGATCACTGAGATAAGCTGTGGGATTCAGATTAATCCAGGGGTCAAAAACCATGGATTTCAATTGATATTATTTTGCCATTACAAATCATGGTCTTATTGTTGTCTTTTTGTGTGTGTGTTGGTTAATTGTGTGCTAAAATTTGTTAAAATTGAGAAGAAAATTTAAAATTAATTAAACGAGCAAGGCTAGAAGACCTATTCAACCCCCCTAGTTCTTACTGACATTGCGGGATGGTTTGCTGGATGACTGTTTAACATATCAAGAATGAGGCTTTGTTTGTCTATGAATGAATAAAGTGATACACAATTATGAGAGAGAACTCTTCTATAGCCGATTTCAGATTGAAAAGCAGGCACTCAGAAACAAGTCTCATTGAGTAATGAGTATTGAATTGGATCTCAATAGTGTCTAGTGAAGTGTGGTCTGTCAGATGTGAAATTTACCCAGATTTTATCTTACTCTGCCCATATGCCTTGTTTGGTGAGATGAAGTCGAGCTAGACATTTTCTTGTTAAAACTATACATGCAATATAAACATTGGATAGAGCTTAATGTCACACCCCGTTAGCGCTTTAAGGGGGCTTGAAAGTGTCTAAGGCCGCACGGGAGCTTGAAAAGGTTCAAGTCCGTGACATTAAGCTTGAAAACTTCAATTAGCTCTGCTGAGGGTTTCCTAGAGAGAGAGAGAGAGAGAGAGAGAGAGAGAGAGAGAGGCTATTAATAAAAGAAAACCAGTATCTGGATGTGTTCCAATTTAGAAGGAATTTGAAGCCCAAGTAGTTCTCTGCGTGAGTGGGTTCAAACAGAGTTGAGCACGCTTGACAGTTTCTTAAGTCCCACATCGGTTGCGAGATAAAAGGGTGAGAGGGAAGCTGGGCTATAAAAGAGAATGCCTGCTCCGAAAATTCTTATACCTTTTTTGGGCCTTTTGGTTAAGATCTAGTGTTTGTTCTTATCAGTTTAATATTTGATATGTGGGCCAATGGCACACAAGATATTAAATTTATTTTTTTAGGGGAACGATCCATCATAGTAGTTTGTTGCTGGGGTCCTTGCACGTCGCCTAGCTGTTGCACCATTACCTTGGCCGCGCCCCATCCAAATTAGTTTCTAAATTTTAGTCATCTTAGCTTTACGACTTTGGTCTTAAAGCTTAAGCCCAGTTAGATTGGGACAGCTAGCCCTTTAACGACAAGCCCAGTTACAAGGGCACAGCTAGCCCTTTTAACTCTATAAGCCCAGTTAGATAGGAACGGCTAGCCCTTTAACGTTAAGCCTAGTTAGATAGTTAACACACAGGCCCAGTAGGATAATTTTACCCAACATGCGTTCATATGTGAACCATATGAAAGCAAAAAATTTCTCCAATTTACTCCTTGGACACTTAGCCAAGTGATGAGCAACACCATTGGCTTCTCAAGGCAAAGAGACGACGGAATTTTTTTGATTCCCTGCCAAACCGCACTGAATGTCTGCAACTATATCTCCCAACATAACAAGAGGAGAGCATCTCCTTCAAAGATGGCTTTGTCAAAATTCCAATCTAAAACCACAAAAAAAGGCTTTTCTAAGTACCAAAGCTTCAGCCATGGTAGGGTCCTTCACTGATAAGAAGTAAAAATTGATTTGCATTAGTAACGGTACCAAAGCTGTCTCTAACCACTAGACCCCCTCCACCCTCACGAGTCTCAACTGAGAAGGCGGCATCCACATTGACTTTCACAACACGTGACGGAGGGAGGATTCCAATGCTTTCTAGACTGGACCGATTTGGACAAAAAATACTTTGGGATTTAAGTTTAAGGGCATTCCCAGAATTGCGACTCAGCTTGAGAGGCAATATCCAATAGCATTACACCTGAATTTTTTGAAAAGTCCAGTCATTTCGAACTTTACCGAGTGTTGAGACACAGCTTGAGAGGCAATAAACTATGGTTTTCATAGATGAGCCATTATTGAGTGTTGTCGAGTTTTTGAGAGAAATGAAATTGAGATTTTTCTTAGTTTATTTTTGTTGATTTGAACCACACATGTTCACGTTTGAGTTCTCTTTATGATTGTTGGTTTTGTAAGCTCTGCTTGGGAGTACATTCGAATTGATCGAAGCAGCAAATTTCATTCCGTGGAAGAAAGGGAAATGGTCATTGCGAGAAGAGGATCATTGTGAAGTGATTGCATTGGTTGAATAATTGAATAGAGAGAGATGCTATATATACAAAAAAAAAAAACAGTATCTGTTTGTATATGTATGTATGATACATACAACCTGAAGCTATAACTAAAAACCCAGATCTGAACATATCATATGATGGTAATTCACTTTGTCTTTGAGTACAACTTTATGGAAAACTATTTTCAACACCTTGAAGACACTATCATATTTTAAGTTTTTACTGTGTGTGAGAGGTATCCAAAAAATTCTGATTAGTCTGAAACTGAATCCAACACTACTTAAGTGGCCTAATATTTGATACATTTGCAATTTCAAATGGAAAATATAGTAATATTTGATACATTTGCAATTTCAAATATAGTAACTATTGGCTACACAAGGGATAGTACAAGTGATAGTATGATCCCTGTATTAAAAGAAGGCACTATGATTGTACATCACCCTGCAACTGATAGCAAACAGTATCAGTTAATGACATTATAAATATCTACACACACACAAACGCGCTCAGAACTTGGTTGAATGATAAAATAAAAAAGAATTCAATCAATGGTAAATCATTATTTTCTCTGTAGTTACATCCTCAACTTTAGAACTAATAAATTCTGCTATATCAAAAAACTATCTGACATTCTTACATTTTATCTTTCATGCAAAAGGGAGGGTAGAAGAGGGGGGAAACGCTATATTACCCGATATTTTAAGTAGCGAAAACCTGTCAACATTACACCATTAATCACAACTGGTCATTGAAACCAAATGAAAGTTCATTCTCATGGACTAAATTTGTGGTGAAAGGACAAAAAACAGTAACTACAATCGTAAAGAAGATGAATTGAGAAAGAGATTTTTTATTTTTATTTTTTTTGCATAACAAGCTAGTTATATACAAGAGACTGCATTAGATTACATTACCACCGTAGACAGAAACCACCGGTGAGTGACATGAAGTTTACCTATAAAAGCCGATCAAAGCACACCAGCCCAGTCTAGAAGAGAATGTATGCTGGAACTCTCCAAAATTTTAGGGGAACTTGTTTCCGAAAACAAAGAATGCCAAAAAAATGTTAGTCCCCAAGTCCCCATTAAAAGAGGGAGTTTGGAGACATGTATTGGGTACACATCTAACCTTTTACACTATTGTGATTGTCTTCAAACTCTTAACTCAGCATTCTCAAGCTTGGCAGCTCGAATTTTTGAGCTATCTATCGCTACATACTTCACTGTCATTTTCGTGCATTCATTTTGCAGAGAGTCTCCAGTACCAGCTCTACCCATACTGGCAACAATTTCTCAAACTTGAGACAAAGAGGATTTCCGTCGTCAGTTTGGATAGCTAGCTGCTTCACAACCAAAGTCAGTCTACGAGCAGTTGCTAACATAACACCCCTTTTCTAAAACTTGAATGCCCTCTGCATGTAAATCTTAAAGTCCAAGATCACTGAGATAAGCTGTGAGATTCAGATTCTTTAAATGATTAATCAAGGGCTCCACATGGCTTTCAATTGAAATTTTGCCACTGCTTTTTTTTTTTACTCACTCATCAGAAGTGCGGTAGTGTCAGGCACATAACCAACTGCTTTGATATGCTGAATCAAATTGTCCAAATTTGAAAAAATCAAACCTGTATCTTTATGAGTTCTGTCTCTTGCAATAAACACATGAGCCTCATTATTTAATTCAATCCAACTACAGCCAGCTTCTTTCACCACCCCATTACAGTCCATTCTCTCCCTCACCTTCTTAACATCAATCCACATATTCTTAGATGCAAAAATATTTGAAAGCAATATATATGATCCACTATCCTTTGGATCAACTGCAATAGCCTTCTCAGCTGCGTATTTACCCAGTTCAACATTGCCAGCAATTCTACATGCACTAAGCAAACTCCTCCACACTATTGCTGCTGGTTGTATTGGCATTTTCTCAATAAACTCCTTTGCCTCGAGCAGTTTACCAGCTCGCCCAAAGAGAGAAACCATGCAAGCATAATGTTCTGTCCCTGGTTCAATTCCAAACCCATGCATTAAGTTAAAGTAACGGAGTCCATCTTCTACAAACCCCACATGGCTACATGCTGAGAGCACAGCAACAAATGTGACATTGTTGGGTTTTATACCTTCTTTTATCATTCCTTCAAACATCTTAAGAGCTTCTTCAGCTTCTCCATGTTGTGCATATGTTGAGATCATTGAATTCCAACACACAACATCCCTCCAAATCGTGGAACTAAACATTTTTTGTGCCTCTCCAATATTTCCACATTTAGCATACATGTCCACCAGTGCATTCGAGACAAATGGGTCAAAGTCTAGACCTGTCTTTATGAGCTGATTATGGAACTGTTGACCATGTGGAAGACTTGCTAGGTTACTAGCTGCTGCAATGAGGGCAACAAAAGTGAATTCATTTGGTGTCTGTCTAGAAATCTGTAACTCTAAGTAGAGTTTGAGGGCCTCCTCATTTTGCATTTGTTGGGTATACCCAAAAAGCATAGCATTCCATACGACAATATCTTTATCATTCATCTCCTCAAAAATAAGTCTGGCATCTTTAACAAAAGAACACTTGGAATAAACATCTACTAGGGCACTGCCGGCAAATATGTCCAAAGAGATCCCAAATTTTATGATGAGACCGTGAATTTGCTTGCTCAATTTCAGGGTAAATAGTGAAGCTGACACACCAAGAAGGCTAACAAATGTCAAAAGGCTTGGTGTGAACAAATTAACCCTCATTTCATGGAAAAGATCCACAGCTTCATACAGCTTTTCCTCTCTTGAGTATCCTTCAATCATTGCATTGTAAGATATCACATTGTGATTGATCTTAACATCAAAAGCTCTTCTTGCATCAGTCAAGGAATCACATTTGGAGTACATATCAATCAAACCATTTTTCACAAACTCATCTAATTCAATATTAGCCTTGATAGTGTATGCATGCACTTGTCTACCCTGTTCCAGAGCCTCAACCGAACCACATGAAGTGAGAACGCTAGTGCAAGCAAAGACATCTGGCTGCCAACCCAATCTGCTCATATCTGCAAACAGCTTCATGGCCTCCCAATCAAATGAATTCTGCATGTACCCAGAAATCATTGATGTCCATGAAATAACATTCTTGACCACCATCTGATCAAATAGTTTTCGTCCTGTTTTCACTCTACCACACTTCACATACAAATCTATTAGCACATTACTCACTGAAACGTCCATTTGTGTTCCCCTTCTCAAAACATAAGCATGAATTTGCTTTCCCCCTTCAAGGAATCCAAGTATTGAACATGCACTCAAAACACTAGAGAGTACATATCTATCAGGAACAACATCTGTTTCCCTCATTTGATAGAACAACTGCAATGAGACTTCACTCCTTCCACCTCTGGCATATCCTGTTATAATCGTAGTCCAAGTAACCGCACTCTTCACCGATAAGTCATCAAAAATCCATCTTGCTTCCTGCATGTTGTCATTTTTTGAGTAAAAGTCAACCAAAGAGGTACCCACATAGACATCTTGATCAAAACCAGTCTTAAGAACAAAACCATGCAATTGGGTTCCTCTCTCAAGACCACCCAATTGGGTACAAGCACGGATAACACTAGCTAATAGATACTCGTTTGGCTTCTCACCAGAGCTTCTTTGGAACTCCAAATAGATCATTAAGGCTTCTTCACTGAAACCATGTTTGGCATACATAGAAATCACTGAAGACCAAGTTATTAGATTCCGTTCAGACATTTTATCAAACAGTACACGAGCATTTCGTAAACAATCATATTTTGAGTACACCTGAATGAGATTGTTGGTAAGAAAAGTATCGGATTGGAAGCCTGACACAACAATCTGTCCATGAATTGTTTTGTAGTACAAAATGGGGTTGCTTGATGCAGGCAAGTGCAAGAGATCGGCAAATTCATCCCTTTGGTCTCGGCGTTTCAGGGTTGGAACAGATGGGTTTTCTGAGCAAAGTAGTGGAGAATCCACTGCTAAGGTGGAAAAATCGAAAGCTTGTTTGTTGGTAGTTCTGCAACAAGAATTTGGAGGGAGTATTACTTGGCAGTAACGTCTCACATAGTAGGTTCTCATTCTATAGAATATGCTTATAGACGTATTACTTTGTTTATAGACATGTATATGTCACCACACAAATGTATAATACATAAAATTTGACCCGTTTTGATCATTCCATTTTTGCAGCTGAACAGATGCATCAAAAGCCCAGTTGAAATCTCTGAAAGTGTGCCATGGTAATTTTCAAATTCGATAACTGTTTAATTATGTCCATAAATTATTTGCCCCTTTCAAAAATAGGCTTTAAAGTTTTTACTCCACTTCTTATTTGACTAGCGCATGTCTTGTAGGGTTGATGTTCTAAAAAAAAAATGTAAAAGGGTCAAAAAAATTCTCTCTTAAACATGATTATATGTTAGCAACTATATTTTATTTTATTTTATTTTTTCAACTGATTATATGTTAACATTATATATATAATTTTCGATAATCAGTAACATCATATAATCCTTCATCTTTTTCCTACCGTTATGCATCAGGGTTGGCACTCAGTTTTGAAAACCTAGGCCCAAACCCATCAGAACGGACCGAGAGGCATTTTAAGAAAATCCAAGTCCGATATTTAGACATTAGAATTAGAATATTTTAACTTTCTTCACCAATTTACATGGAATGATAAATTAAACTCGTAACTATCTTTGTCCCAAAATTTTTGGCCTGTTTGAAAATTATAGTTGATTTTTATTACTTTATTATTGCATTGATAAAAAAAAAAATTCTAAATATATGCTCGTTAAAAGATAAAAATAATTCTTCATAATTAATGAACTTATTTAGTCAAAGGATTATAAAAAATAATACATCTATATTTGAAATGAAACATTTATTTTGAAATATTTCAAAATAAAAAATGAACAAAAATTTTGAGGACTACTATTACTATTAAAATAAAATAATGAATTTTTTATTAACTAAAAAAAGGACATAAACTACTGGTCGAGTACATTCCAAATTGGTTGACAGATACGTATATACACATATAATATTTTTTCCATCCTTAACATATCTTTAGAATCCCAGTTGGTTTGTTTGGAGTAACTTACCTTTCTACTCGATCATTATTTTTAAGACAACAATTGATCCTCTCTTAACTTTATTCTTGTTTAATGTTTGATGAGTGGACTGGTGTAATTAGGAGAGTCTTATCCCACGTTGGAGCCGAATGAAAAGTGAAATGAATGTATATGAATTGGGTGTTAATTTCACCTAACAACTTAAGTTTTTAGTATAATCGCGAAGCATCTAACCCCGTTATAACTGGGTCTAGAGTTGAACCCTATCCTAAGCCCTACCCACCTGGCTGGCTCAGGCCAGTGGTCATTTTCCCACCCTTATTCTATACCAAAAACAAGATTGGGAAATTTGAGAATGGTACATATAAAATGTTTTCTACAATGTTGAACGTAGTTACTTATTTTAATGCAAAGAATATAATTGAAAAAATAATTTTTATTTATTTATTCTTAAATGAGCTGTTCAATAATTGACTGAATAGCATTTGACCTGATATATATATTTTTTTTCCCACTAGTTTCACATGTCGACTCGTGTGTTATTATAGTAGTTGTTCTAACTTTGGCTAATTGGGTTTTCTTAAAGTACTGTTTGAAATTTGAACTATGATTTGGATCATATTGGGCCTATTGGGCCCATTACAATCGGAAAGTAAACTACTCCTGCTTCACACAGAAAATATTTTAGTGGGTTGTTATAACTTGACTGATTCTGGACAGATTGGTCATATTGGGCCCTCATTACTTTCCAAAAGTGAGACACAATGTAATTTGAGTTTAATATTCCAACTACTTTGTGGGTCTTGGTACTTATGGTCAGAATAAATCCCACGAGTTCCCACTAAGTCGTCAAGTGTTACAAAAGTAAGGGACTTGTCCAACGGTTCTGATGGATGTTGAAATGTGATCGGCTAGTATGTAAGCACTATTTAATAATTCAAATTTTTAGATAAATAAATAAATATTCACCCATTATAGTTAGTATCAAAGTTAGATTTAATCCTTGATTCGGTATCACGTCAAGCGTCCGAGTCTTCTTCCTAGGTAGGCAAGGTGGCCCGACCGCAACGAGGGCGTTGCGCACATTCGGGTGGGAGGGAATGTTACAAATAGGGACTTGTCCCACGTCGGATCTTGATAAGAATTGAAATATGCCCAAAATATTTTCCTCGGAAAATATATTTTTTTATGTAAAATATTTTTATTATTTGGTGTTCAACAAAGGTTTAGGTCGAGGTTGAGATCGAGTCCATTGGGTGAAACATATAAAATAATTCACCAAAAATTAATGAAAAATTTATTTTTGTTAGATTTTAATTTTTTTTTTCGTAAATATTTTACGACAACTAAACACCACACATAAAATACGATCAAACAAACGGAGATTTGTAAATATTTGGGATGAGAGAAAAATTAGTAACAAGTTTCAACTGAATAGTAAACTTCCTTTAATTCTAAATCCAAATCGTGAATGCTCCTAAACTTACTTATTATTATTATTTTGGGAGTCGCCTTGGATTTGGAATTATAACCTTAAATTAAAAAATTTTAATTTTCAAATCCAAAGGAAAGCAAGCCCCAAGGAAACATAAGTTCATTTGATTAGGTAATTTAAATAGAGGAGTGCTAAACATAGCAATTGTGACTGTGGCTCTGCAGTCGCAACTCCTATTGAATATTTTTAAATGGATTTGAGTTTTTCTCTTTTTAGAGTTGTTAAGTCATGCCAACACATTGGTTTTTCACCTCTTTAGAGACTCTTCATTAACCGTTGTTTTCCTACCATCTTTTCTCTCTACAGGGAACTACACTATTATCCTTACCTTACATGCTATATAATGCTTTTAGGCTCTGTTTGGAGAGGCCTCAAAGCCACCCATAATCCACCATCGTCATATTTTGTTGTTAAACAAAATTCATAGAGTCTGAATGTCGACACTTTAACTCATTTTTACACCAAAACAATTGTGACAAAGAACAGTAACCAATAAATACTAAAATATTCGTTAAAAAATATTTTTATTTTTTGATATTTGGTTGCCGTAAAATATTTATGAAGAAAAAATATAATCTAACAAAAATAACTTATTCATCAAATTTTGACAAGTTATTTTACACACCCTACTCGACAGAAGGATTTTTTCATAATTTCAGTGGGAGCAATTTTAAAATTTTACAGGTATAAATGCAAAAAAGTATAAATTTAGGGATATAAAATGTAATAATAAAAAATTTCAGTGGGGGCGGATGCTATCACTGAGTCCTTCACAGATCCGTGTGTGCCTCAATCTCTACTTGGACCTTTTTCAAATACCGAAAAATAAAAAAATAAAAATATTTTACCTAAATAAAAAAAATATTTTACGTCAAAACAAACATATTAAAAACATATTAAAAATATTAATTTTTATTATTACTTACAGATTTCAGCATGTAAAATTCAATTCTTAAAATTTTTAATTTTATCAAATAGCGCGATAATGAGAAGAGTAAAATAAAATATAAAATAAAGACAAAATACCTACTATGCTTAGTTTTTTGCTCTATTTTTTATTCACTTTTTTTCCTGGTCTTAGGTATAAAATTTTGAAATTGGTAGGAGGTAAGCATAAATTCAACCATGAAAGGTAATCACCAGAAAAATTCCTAATATTTGCTCGTAAACTGGGTAGGTATGTATCCTACACATCAAACCTACTAAGAACACCAGAAGCGACCACAAGAATCGTGTGTTCAAGGGAAAAACACGCTTCAATTATTAACTGACCCAAAAAACAAAAAACGGGTCACACGAAAAAGACATATCACTAAAACATGCTATTTCAATATATAAAAACTTTATAGAACATGACATTTTTGTAGAAGTTTTTGTTTATATGTATATATAATATATATAATAGAACATGATATTTCAATATTTAAAACATGATATTTCAATATATAAAAACTTTATAGAACATGACATTTTTGTAGAAGTTTTTATTTGAAAAGCAATATAGAATTATTTTATTGAAGGAGTTGACATGGGAGGATTTCATATCTTCTCTATTTCATCGCATCTTTGACTTAAGTTGCGATATTGGTTGATACGCGATGTATTCGTCAATTTGTAACTTTATTTCAAGTATCCGATACCGTTACACATTTTCATGAACTAACCTCAAGGGCCATTCCAAAATAGACTAATATTAGTAATATTATATATTTATTTATTTATATTATTTGAAAAGCAATATTCTTTTATTGCTTTTCAAATAGCTAGAGTACTATTTGATTTATTTATATTATTTGAAAAGCAATTTCATTTTTAGCCCAGTTAAAAATAATAATAATATAAATAAATAAATAAATATATAATATTACTAATATTAGTCTATTTTGGAATCGCCCTTGCGGTTAGTTCATGAAGATGTGTAACGGTATCGGATACTTAAAATAAAGTTACAAGTTAATGAATACATTGCGTATCAACCAATATCGCAACTTAAGTCAAAGATGCGATGAAATAGAGAAGATATGAAATCCTCCCATGTCAACTCCTTCAATAAAATAATTCTATATTGCTTTTCAAATATGATCAAATATTGATTTTTCTTAATCATAATATTCTTTTCTAACTTCACTAATTAATTGAATATGTAGGGTTGATCATATGTACAAATTTAAAATTTTTATTTTAAAAGTATGATATGTTTTAATCATTTAATGTGTGAAACGTGTTAAAGAATATTTAGAAAGTGTTGGCGTGTGACTACACAAATACAAGTCCTTAAAAACGCGAGTACTTCTTTTATTTTAAAAGTACCATATGTTTTAATGTGTGAAACGTGTTAAAGAATATTTAGAAGGTGTTGGAGTGTGACTACACAAATACAAGACCTTGAAAACGCGAGTACTTCTTTAGTATCATGAACAATGCATCTAATCTTGTAACTTTTGTCACTGGTATAGTGTTTCATCCTCATCCACAAACATCCTTTGTGCACAAGTGTACACATTCACTGGTAACAAAAATTACTGTGTCACTTTTTATTTTCTCAAGATTGTAAAAAAAAAAAATACGTTACAAAAGAAAAATAAGTTATTTTTAAAATGCTGTCAAGGAAGTTCTATCAATATAAATTTATTCTTTTAAGAAAATAGTTGCCATGTCATTTTAACTAAAATTGTATATTTCTTCAATTTCATGGAGACTAAAATTCAGTGGCACTTTTTCACCATTTAAAGTTGAAAGTGAGATTTTTTCTTATTTGCTGGATCAAACTGTAATGGATGAGGGTTTGCGAGAGGAATGCACTAGCCGATTTATTCTTACTTGCTCGATCAAACTGATTCTTAACTATCTATTATGATATTTTAAAATTATATGATTTTAAAAAGGATTGGCAAATATACAAAATACCTCTTGATGTTTCACCATATGAGCGTAATACTCCCTTGTGGTACAAAACTGAGCAGATCAACTATAGTAGTTCAAAAAGTGAACACATTGCCCCCTAAAAAGTGTCGGAGCTCACTTTCAGTCCGACCACAATGTTAATTTGCCAAACTACCCCACAATGTTCATTTACGAAAAGTGAGCTCCAACACTTTTCAGTAGGGGGAGCAATGTGCTTACTTTGAAACTACTATGGTTGATCCGCTCAGTTTTGTACCACAAGGATATTCTTCTCATATGGTGAAACCTCATGGAGTATTTGCACTTTTGTCAAAATGATATTTTTATATTTTAAAATAAGAGTTTGAAGGGCATTTTGAACCTTAATAATAAATCTTGATACATTTGTAATTATTTTATTTAACTTAATTAAATTAAAAAATTAACTTTTAAAATTGATAATTTTGTTATTTAGATTTTCTAACTCTATTGATGTGTAAATTTTTATTTATTTTTTACGCATCTAATCAACAGTCAACATTTTAATTGATTGGGAGAAAATTTTTATTTTTATTATTATTATTATTTTAATGTAAAGCCCAATTTCTAAGTGGATTTGGTGAAGCCCCAAAAACGTGATAACAAAATTATCTTGTTCAGTCGTGGCCACACAAGGGACACACACCCGGATTGCCCCATCCCATCCCCATCCGCATCTAATAATTGTCCTGCACCCTACACGGATAACTATCACATCCAGATCTCCAATCATATTTTTGTTTTAATGGACAGATGATTTCAACAATGACAATTTTTATTTTATTTTAATTTAATTATATTACTATATACAGTTATACAGGGATAGCTAAATGGATGGATGGGTATATCTATTATATCTCCAATCATATTCTGTTTTAATGGACAAAATATACGTGTTTAAATTTAAGTCAAATAAAGCAAGAGTAAATTCGAGAACAGTAATATAAGAGCGACATAATTAAGTCATAAGTAATGATAATTTGAGTAAAAGAGCGTATGAAATGTGATAACGAAAATGCGCTCGAAACGTGAGAGTGACACATGTTTAAAAAGATTATGTGACTTAAGTCAAAATCACACGCTTAGAGGCATTTTTTACATGATTTTAAACTATCAACTTATCCACCTTAAAAGGGAAAGAATATAGTAATTGAATAATAAAGAATATGAACTTCTTGAGACAGGAGGGGGGAACGGGGGAGTAAAACCTTAGGTTAATACTACTCTGTTTAAAATTAGAATTTATGAAATTAAAAAAAAAAAAAATTGATTCATAATTATAGAAAATTGAATTAATTATTTTTAAAATTTATCAATTTCAATACTTTAATTCTATACCTCCAAACACAATCCAAATTCATTAAACGTTTGTTAAGTGCAACTACGTGTACTTCTTTAATATATAATTTTCTGAAATTTTGTCAATTTCAATATTTTCATTCTATATCTCCAAACACAACCTAAATTCATTGAAAATTCATTAAGTGCAATTACGTGTACTTCTTTAATATATAATTTTCTTAAATTCTGTCAATTTCAATATTTTAATTTTATACCTCCGAACACGGTTTAAATTATAGATGCCTTAATAACCCGAGTTAGTGCCTCCAGTGAATATTAGAGTGCCAAATTTTGACTTTCTGCATTTACTAATCTAACTCCGCACCTCATTAAGTGCAAGTATTTGAAAACTATAATAATTATTTTAAAAATATCATTTAAATATTTTTTCAAAAAAAAAAAAAATACTGCTCATACCAAACATTACACTGCGGAAACATATAAAAATACCAAATTAGTGTTTCAATTTTTAACCACTATTCACGAAACATTTTACCACTATAAAAAAACCAAAAAAGTTTACCAAACGCATTTTTTCTGCTATTAGCTAATACACTGCCAGACAAAAATAAAAACACCAAAACAAAATGTATACCAAATGGTGCTTACCAAGAAAAAACAAAAAATAAATTGGTAAAGTTTGATCAAATTACTACCCAAGTCAATTAAAATATATACATTGCATATATTCATGTAAAGTTGATATGATATATAATTTTTTTCTATCATAACACCTTTCTTAATCTTAAATTGCACGAAATATCATATCCTTCCACACACCTTGACATGTCGAGACTGGAGAATGGTATAGATAGTATATCTCCATCCTTCACCAGACCCACCCACCTCCAACTACCAGTAAATCAAAAGTTGGTTTGGGGTGGCTGTGCTGGCATACCTCTTTCTTCTTATCCAAAATCCACATATTTTATATTTTACATAGTATATAATTTTTTTTAAAAAAGAATTATATATATATATATATATTTAGCATATTGTGTGTGTATATATTACGACTCCATAAGAGGACCAAAAAGGCACAGAACTAACTAAAACCTACTATCCAAAATAACCGACCAACTTTGGCCTCACTTTTAGAGAGAGAGAGAATTTAGAGAGAGAGAGAGAGAGAGAAGCGCATTTCTTCTCTACGTCTTGGGTCGCTGCCTAGCTGATTTTCTGGTGAGCGTCTGACTGTTGTAAGTTAGTTCAATCCTTTGTTTCTATTTATGTGAATCCTCCAAATTCTCGGGAGATTCATTTAATACTAGTCAATTTTTACTGCAAATTTTGTTTATATTTTTGTATAGACCTGTATTTATTTAACATATATGGGTGTCGGACACAATTGTGAAACCCCTCTTTTATAAATTTTACTCAATCGTGAAATATATTCTGGTTCTTTTTTTTTGAATGGCATCTGAATTTAATCGCGAAAATTGAGGGGCAATCTCATTCTTTTTGTCCGTTTGGCTGCCGAGAAAATGTAGGAAAAGAGAACAGATCAGGATTTTGGCAATTGAATTAATTTGATCTGAATATTAGATTCTTCATTCATAGGTTTTGCAGAAAAAAACTGGGATCAAATTAAAGCTTAGTTTCTTCTGAAATCAAGGCGTTTGGGTTTCGATAGTGAAGGGATGGAGGCTAAAGTTGCACAGAGCTTGCAATTATCGACATGGATTGATCCAGAGAAGATCATGAGGAAACAAAGTGGTTCTTTGCGGTTTTCTCATAGATGCAGGGAACGGCAGAGATTTCAGGTTCTTACTTCTGGTAATTTTCAGCCTAAAAGAACTGCGAGTTGCCATAGATCAGTAGCATTGGAGATTTCGTGTTCTTATCAGAAGTTTCCAGGTACTTTACTAAACATTTAATTCAATTTTTGGGTAAAGTATGAAGATACATTTGTTCTCCATCGTTTAAAGCATATCATAGAATCTAATAATTATACAATGCATGTAAGATGTAACACATGATTTACAACTGTGAAACTTGAGTTGGCATGGGTTGTCTGCTGAAAAAACATGCTTTTTTCGGTTTTACATTAATCAGTTAAGAAAATTAGAAATGAATTTTGGATTAGCCTCAGTTAAAAAATTGAAATCTGCATTTTTATTTGGTAGGGGTTTGTGGCCCCCTTTATTTTGGCATTTTTCGGTGCTCGTCGTAGGATATTAAAGCAACCCCCATCACTCTCTAGTTGTCTCTGTCCTTTCTAGCAAGCAAAAACGTTTAGCAACAGTAAATCTCCAAGGAAAAGTTTACACGTTTCCTCATTTTTTCCTTATTATCTTATGACAGACTAGTTATTGTGTTTTGGTGGTGGAAAGTAAAAATTTGGATTAAGAATTTGACAAGAAAGGATAAACAGAAGATTATAATCATAAACAAAAGATTACCACTGTGTTTTGATTGTCTGCATATTACCATTAAAAATCTACACCAGCTTTTTCTTTCTTTCGTTTTTCTTTTCCCAGGACGACTCTACACAATGCTCATTAGGACTGTTGCTTCCATGGGGTTAGATAGATGTTTAGGCTCAAGTTCATTTGAAGAAATCAAGAAAATCCTAGTTCTGGAATTTCTTCAAAAAATGAAAAGAATAATTTGATTAATTTCCCTCCCTTTGCATAATCTTGTTTAAACTTATGATTTATTTTTCCTATTCTACCTTATGACATTGTAATCATGCATTATTTTCTTCTTATTTTAACTAAATTACCTTATATCTCAATTACTAGTTCAATCCCAAAATAGCAAAAAGGAGATCTCCTGGATGTTACTGCTCTGTGATGTATATTAGTACTTGTGTTGATATCTGGAATGTGCTAAGAGAATGGGTAATGCCTGATTGGGTTCCAGATGTGTGTGTATATATATACGGCAGTATACACATATGTATGTCATATTATGGATGGTGCTGATGAGTGTAAATAGACGATTGATTCAGCAAATTCCTGCAACCTTGGATGATGTTTCTGATTGATTTGGGGAAGTTAGAATCACCACAACACACAAATAAGAGATTAGAATAAAAGGATAATGATGCCAAATTGTGCATAGGTGGGAAAGTAAAGGTGCTAGGAAAAAGAAAGTATAATAGGTAATGGAAAGAAATGCAGAGCAAATGAAACAAATAAATGGGCTCAGAGATCAAGTTGTTCAATTAGGACTTTCTTGCAATTATCTAGACTTATTGAAACAGATAAAAGTACTAATTACAATTCTAAGTGGAGTACACATAGCTGTACCAAAGTCCAATGTAAATATGAGAATAATGCTCCAAAGTAGCTCCAACAAATTTCCTGCTTTTCTTTTAATTTCTCTCTTTTTTTCTTCTGTTTTTCTTCTTCTTTTTTTTTTTTTTTTTTTCGTTTTTTAAGTCTCAATTAGGCTTATCTACAGACCTACACTAGGCATAGACAGCTAACCTAAAGGCTGCAATCTGATTAGGATGCAATGGCTGCTGCAGTAATGTTTTTGCAATGATATTGTGTATTTGACAGTGATATTTTGTACTTCTTCAGCTATTAAGTTCTCTTAGATACTGTGTTTCCTTAGTAAGGTAACTTTCGAGGGAAGCTTTTGTTTAGGAATTTTACGGAGTAAGCTTTTGCAGGAAGCTTTTGGTGCCTAGAAGTGGGCATATATGTAACTCATATAGTCAGTTGTTTTGAGATTGAATATAATAGAACGGCGTTCAGTTTTCCTCCCCTCAATTCTTCTTTTCTCCTCCTCTCTCTCCTTCTCTAGTCTTTCTCTCAATACTTCTCTTCTCTATCTCATATCTGTTTCTATCTATTCTACATCAATTCTGTTCTCTAGCTATCTGTCCTGCATCTATCTCCCCTCTAATTCTGCTCTCTAGTTCTCTTCCTCATTGTCTATACACTTCAGTTGCAACCAAAGCTAAAAATACCAACAAGCTTTGTTAGATAGCTTTTCAATTATGTTAATCACCCAAGCTTATAAATTAGCTTACAAAGTTTGGTTCAGATTAGTAGGGAAGAGAGGAAGAAGAATTATTCTCTGCAGGAATTGGACATTATCCACAAGGAGTTGGCAAGTTTCTCTTAAAAGTTGCTTTGTTAAGGGTAATAAGCTAGAAGCAGAAAAAGGAAGTCTGATAGCTTAAGTGTGGGAGGGTAAAATGGAAGAAGATCATAATTTTTAATATCTGATCATAGCTTAATGGGGGCATTTTACAATTGAAATTTAGACATTATCTTAAGACTGCCCTATAGAGAATGGCATTTTATATTGCGAAGACACTTACTAAATGAGCGTTCGAAGGCATATCAAATATATGGAGAACATGCTGACACTTGGACATTCATTGCAATTCTCTTGTCGAGTGCTGATGATGACTTAAGCTAGTCCTAGGCTTCTAGCACAATGTCTTTTTATATGGTTGCCCTAAACATTGTGCCAAGATATGGGCTTCATTATAGAAATAATCTGATTTTTATTCTACTTGTGGGATGGACTGGATAAATACTAATATTTGGCATTAGTATGTATTTTAATATATTATTGCAGTCTCTGTGTTGCATTCCTTTAATAAGTCCTCCTTCTGTGGTAGTGACTGCTAGTTATATCTCTTTTTTGGGTCATTGAAAGTTGATTTTGGTTCTTACTTTTGTAGCTTCAATAATGCCACCTGGAAGTTTTCCTCCTTCTTTTGATGAAGCTATGGCTTTAAAGGTACGGAATGATGTCCGATCCCTTTTATATTTTGTCCGTTACCTCTAAAGGGTAAAATTGTTTTCTTTTGTTTAGAGGTTTAGGCATTCTGTATTTGTGTTATGTGTGGCATGCCTATTTAAATTTGAGAAACTAAGTTTAGTTCATTGGCTTATCTCTAGACAGTTCTGTGCATTCATCTTATTGAAAGTTATTGAAATTGAAATTGCAGAAAAAGTCAGAAGAGATAGAACCACATTTAAGTGGACGCTGTATATATCTTGTTGGTCAGTTGCCTTGTCAGGATCCCCTGTAATTAGTTGGTAAAATTAGTTAAATTTATATTTATATAACTATGGTATGCAAAATGCAGGAATGATGGGCTCCGGAAAAACAACTGTTGGTAGGATTTTGTCAGAAGCACTTGGATATTCATTTTTTGACAGGTTTGTGGCATGATTCTCACCCTTTTGGGTTTTTGGAAAAATAATTATAGGGGAGAACTACAATATTTGAGTGATATGGAGAACTTTGCAATGTAAATGGAGGGTTTCACCTCCCAAGGGATGGTCTTCAAGTGTAGGATACCTACATTATTAAAACTATGGAAAGTGGTCCTCTTCGTGTGCATTTTTTGTTTGCAATCTAAAGTTCCCCTTGACTGCACATTATACGTCCTACTAAATAATAACACTGTTTTGTGTTTGTGGATGCTACAGTGATACATTGGTAGAGCAGGCCGCTGGCGGTACTTCTGTAGCTGAAATTTTTAATCTATATGGTGAGAGCTTCTTTAGAAACAGTGAGGTTAGTTATACATGGATATTGAATTCTTTTTTCTTTTTCTTTTTTTTGATTTATTCTTTCGTTCAGTGTCTCTAGATAAATTAATAATAAGACGGATTCTAAGGGGAAAAAAAAAAAAAAGAAAAGAAAAAGAAAAAGAAAAAGAAGAAGCTTTAACATTCCCCCATGCATGGGCTAGAGAAACATTTTACCAGATGCATGGAAATACCATTTAAAACTGAGGATAAGTTAACATGGTCATATGTTTGACTGATCATTTGATAACTCATCACGATGCAGCAATATTGAAGTGGAAAACTTGCACTTATTTAACCAAGTTTGTGGACTGTTTTAGTACCTAATCTAGAGCTACTACTTGGGGAACTCACTGATTATAACAAAATTCTAACAATTCTACCACTGCCAATATTCACTAATGCAATTTATTTCTGTTAGTTTGATTTCCATTTCCCTGATGTGGTTAGTCATTATTCTTTTGTCTTTTAGACTGAGGTACTGCAGAAGCTGTCCCTAATGCAGCGGCTTGTTGTTTCCACTGGTGGTGGTGCAGTTGTACGGCCCATGAATTGGTATGATATTGGACATATTAATAATAGTTCTTTTTGCTTTATCTTTGCATAGTTACCTTCTAAAGGTACTTTCATTTGTTTAAGTGGACATTACTTTTCTTTGTCAGGAAACACATGAAAAAGGGGATTAGTGTCTGGTTAGATGTGCCCTTGGAAGCCTTGGCTAGGAGAATTGCGGCTGTAGGAACTGGGTCTCGCCCCCTCTTGCATCGTGAGTCGGGCGATGCTTATGCAAAGGTAGGCAGTTCAGCTTCTCTATTTGGATCAGATAACATGTAATTAATTAAAGGCTGCATATCTGCTTTTATTTTGATACATACTCCTTTGACTTTGGCGTTTCTGTAGACTTTCATGCGCCTGTCAACTCTTTTGGAAGAGAGGAGTGAAGCATATGCCAATGCCAATGCTAGAGTTTCCCTGGAAAGTATGACTGCTGAACCAATGTGCTCGATTTTGTTAATTTTAATTTTTGCTATTATGTTTGAACAACTGCACTTGATAGATTCCATAAGCTTTTCCGTTTTGGGGCTGGAATATTGCGTGCATGTTGTAATTGACTGATTTTTACTTATTTTTAATTATTAATGATTATGCCTACCCCTTGCTGTTTATTATGACTTGATTTTTTATCTCCTCTATCCATCTTGATTCTAGACAAAATTTCCTTATGAAATTTGTGTTCTTAAGATGCTTTTGTTTTTGTAAGTGCTGAAGGGGGTTTATGTTTTAACCGCAGATATTGCAGCCAAGCTGGGTTACATGGATGTAAGCAATCTCACTCCAGCAGTTATTGCAATTGAGGTCTCTGTCCCTCTCTCATATAGTTTTATTTTTCTTTTCTTTTTTTCCTTATTATCCTATAGATGTGTTAAGCAACCATTCTAATTTGATTAGCTAACTTAATTTTATGCTTTGGCAGGCCCTTACCCAAATTGAGAGCCTTTTGAAGAAATAGGTTGACAGGTCATTTTAAGGTCCGACTTCAACAAGGTTTCTCTTTCTCGGTGCTTTAAGATTTTATGCGTACTATTTGTACAAGGCAAGTGTCGTGTCTCGATTTTAGTAGGGAGACATGGCATGTATTTTGTAGCAAATTTATAGCGAGGTTTACATTTCTTTGAATTGTAAATATGGATGATGAATTCTTTTAAAATTATATATGACCCGTGAAATTTTCTTGTAATATTTTTTAATCAACATTTGTTGTAATTTTGGCGATAACTGAACCTGGGGATGTGGTCATTTTGTAATAGAGTTGATCTATGCTATACCATTTAGACGGGAGACATAAGTGAGCTCCTGCATCTTGTTGATCAAAATGATTGCAAACGATTGTAAAACTGCATTTACCTGCAAATAGAAAGATTTTTTTTTTTTTTTTTCACTCACATACACGTCTTCACTGAGGCTTGAATCACTGACCTTCCTTTGAAAAGTAGGGGCACCGGCCACTGCCTCCTGTTGGTCAGATAGAAAGATTCAGAAAGGAAAAGGAAGGCTCAAGGTATTGTCAACAAAGCAACATATCCAAGGGTACACAATTAAGACCAGGCAACATACAGGAGCATATATATATATATATATACAACAACTTTTTTCAAAGTGTTTGCACCTAAGACACACACTAGAAAAACCTCCTCTACAACTCCTAAAAGGAATAAGGATCTCCATTGAACATTAAGTTGCTTCCAAGTTGGCATGGGAAAATTCCTCCCGCTGGACAAAATTTCTCCGACTTTTTTTCATTTTTCAAATTGTTTCCTGTTGTAGTGTTTATTTAAATATTTGCGTTGAATTTCAGAGCAAATGAAACAGAGGTTTTAAGAGATTCAAGCTTGAATAATGAAGTTCTGAATGCCAAAAAATTAAAATATATATAGCAAAATAAAAGGGGAAGATTTTTATTCATTTGATATCAAAATTGAATAATATCATGTCCATTCAAGTCAGACAAGCTGTCTGTTTATTCAAAGTTAATCTACAACTCATAATTAGCCATGCGTACATGATCTCAAAGAACAACTTGAATTATTACTTTACAATCAAGCCGTGGATACGGAAATCTCAGTAGTATCCATTCACAGCCGCCCGTACATTGAAAGCATATCCCTCACTTTCTTCTTTTCAGCATCTAAGTTGTCAAAGCTCATGGAACTAGGTACCCTCCAACTCCAATTTCCAAACTGTTAAAAGAAAGACAAACAAACAGATGCAGTGTTAGGAAAGCTTTTCATGATTGTGTCCTGTAGAACCATCACTGAAATATACAACTAGTTGTTAAACGTTCGATTGTTGTTTTAAGTCGTTAAATTCTTCAGTTTTGATGATGTTCTAGCTAGATGGGATGAGAAAAATAAGGCACTTAAATGGAAAATTTTAAATGCTAGTTGTTATGAATACGATACTGAGTAGCAGAAGTAAAATCCTAAATTGGGAAAAAGTGTAGAAAAAATGATACCACCAAGTATAAAAAGAAAAGGAATAAGAACCCCACTACGAATAAAAAGATCAATTCTCACAACAAGAACTGCTGCTTCCCCTCCTCTTTCTCTCCCCTCCTCTTTCCCTCTTTGTTTTTGAAAGGAATTGTGACAAGAAAAACAGCCCGACATTCTGCTAATTTTATTACTACTATAATTATTAATTTAAAAAACAAAATCACCAGTTTGGCTGGTTAGAAGAGAGCCCACTGATATCATGTCTGACTGCCAGAATTTTGAAGATATGTCAGGCAGAAATTGCCATGTTCTTTACTCAGCAAAGATAACATAGTATGAACAACGAATTGACTGATCATATATTATGTATAAGACTTTATTTAATTATGTCAGACTTAAGCTACATCAGTACTCCAAGTTTCAGACCAGGCCCGGCAGAGGCTTGGGTGGAAATGCCCTAGCTGAGGCTAAAATCTTATTGGGCCTCAAGGCTCTTGTCTATTAGAATGCGTCTACACAGTTAGGAGGTATCCACACATATAAGTGATAGCAACTTCTCCCCCAGGCAAATATAAGATGTCACAATTTTGTGACGACCCATCCCGCTATGTAGATATCATCCGCTTTGCATACTCTTTGTGTTCATAGTTTTCAAAAAGTGTCTACATACTTAGAAGGCATCTATATATATAAGTGCCAACAACTTCTCCCCCTAGGAGATGTGGGACATCACAATCCCCTCCTCTTGGGACCCACCGTCCTCATTAGGGATTAGCTTTGATACAATTTGTGACATCCTAAGAAGCATGGACACCGACGCGGGACACGGATAGACCGACATGTCAAATTCTAAAAAAGTAGGACACGGACACAGCGTGGACACAACTAATATACATATAAATTTTCATTTATATATCTATTGAATAACACAATTAAAAATCTTTAATGACTTTATAATTTTTATACTAAAGTTACATAAGTTAGAAGGTGAAGCTATTTATATTATATATGATATTACTATTCTATCTTGTCATTGGAGTAATGTTTTTGTTCATATTACATACTATGACATGTTTACTGTCAATTTTTTAAAGAAAAAGACGTTAGACACTTTGACATATGTTCGTAATGTTGTTTCTAGGACTCCCATATGTTTGTTTATATGAGACAGAGTGTGGAATATGCTGTCGAGTGTTTGGAATGTGTCGACCAAGTGTCCGAAATGTGTCGGCCAAGTGTCCGAAATAATAAAAGTTATTTTGAAGTTATGGACATGGCCACGAAGTGTAGGAGACATGTACCGGAGTGTCCATGCCGCACCTCATAGTAGTGTTCGTGCTTCTTAGCTGGCGTCCCATAGAAGTTGCTGGCACTTATATGTGTATATGCCTCCTAACTGTGTAGATGTGTTTTGAAAACCGCAAGCACAGAGAGTTCAAAGCGGACAATATCTACATGGTGGGGTGGGTTGTGACAATATCAATCCTCTAGCCTAATTACCCAAATGTTGCTTATAAGTACGCAACTTGCTTTTACCTGAGTTGCAGGAATGTTCATCCTGGCAGAAGTTCCCAGACCAAGAATATCTTGCATAGGTACGATGGCAGTTTGAGCCACTGAAGAGAGAGCAGCACATATTAGTGCCCATGAGACATCTTTTCCTTCAGCAATTGAAAGATACTTCAGTACCTGAAACAACAATGCCATCGATATAATCCATGATGTGATGCTAAGTGATGTCTAACTGGCATAAACATGAAATTTCATGAGTTAATGGAAGATCTGAATAATAGAATACTTACATTGTTCTTCTCTTGTTGTTGCAAGACATCCCACCAACCCAGAATCTGTACATACTACAAACTGTCAGCAAGCTGTGTTGAAGAAAACCGGAAGATTACTCTAACATGTTGGAATCGGAACAATGCGCTCTTCACTTCAAAATGTATAATACAGTGCCAGATTTTCACTCTACATGTGTCCCCAAAGAATACAACTTACAAAACAATTTCCTGATTCCTTTGTAAATGGTCCCAAGGGACGTTAAAGGACATCACCAAGTAAACTTTAAAGTTGACCCACATCAGTACATTTTACCATCATCCTCCCCCTTGGAAGACAAATTCACTATAATGGAAAACTAACAGGTCTAAAGCATAGAGAATTTTACCGTGTCATTATCATGTGTTCCAGTATAGACTACTTGATTGGGCTCGTGATTATGAGGTAAATGAGGGTTATCTGCATCACTTCCGAAGCCTGGACCAAAAAAAAAAAAAGAGAGTAGGACCACAACATTACACCTTACAAACTTCAATGCTTTTTCTCAAAGACATCTAGAATAAATTAAGCCAGCACTAAGTAACTACCAAACTGGAGAACAGCCATTCCAGGTGCCCCAATGGATTTCCTAAGCTGAACGACATCCTCAGTGATCACTCCCTGTTACACAGTGGTACAAGGAAGAGATGAGTATCAAGATGAAGCATTTTAACAGATTAATTTATAAAGATACCTTGTGCAAAATAACTAAATAATGTTCAAAAGTATCATTGATACTGATTAACAACGAAGGACACAAACCATATGGACGGATTAAAAAAGCTCACTCATGTCAAGTAAAGACTGTTAGGATCCTAACTTACGAGGAAGTAAAGCCAGCCAAAAACATTTTGAAATAAGCCAAGTTCAAAAAAAGTGCAAGCCAACATGTATGAACAAGGAAATCCTGCAACTTGGTCTTGAGGTTTAGATAATCGCTAGTGGTGATGCTTAATTGCCTTTGTAATGAGTTTCTTAGTACTACTAAAAAAGGGTCAAGCCTAGTGGTATATCCTCCTCCTACTACTACATGGGGAAGTTGAGAGTTCAAGTCCCTGTTGGGGCAATAGTGGGTGTGTATTCTTATCTATCACCTAAAAAAATATAAAATAAAAAAATAAAATCATAATAATAATAAAGAAGGAAAGAAAAAAAGAAAGAAGGAAAGAAAAAAGAGTTTCAGTATTGCTATTGTTGTTCACTCTTATGTTTTATTTGTTAGATAACAGAAACAGTTATTGAATCCCATGTTACAATCAGTTATGGTAGACAATTGGGTGTAGTTGGTGCTGCGATTCTAAAAAAAGTTCATCAGGTTAAAAGATATAGAAAAGCAATTTAAACTGAAATTTTTGCATAATATTAACACCTTAAATTGAATAAAATTAGCCCGAAAGACGACTGGAGTAACCACCATTTACTTCAACAAAATAATAATAGAGAGACTACTGAACTACAACAGTCATATACACCTCCAAAACCTCAAGTGAATTTTCATCATCAGTAATGAAATGCCCCCTTTAAATAATAACAATAATAATAATTTCAGGACAACTAATAGAAGCAAGTGGCATATTAAATAAAACAAGGTGAATGCTCAAGTCAGCATCTACTAAGCTACTACACCATATCAAACTTGTGATGATCCGCAAATTGAATTTGGTCAATTGTTAGCAAGTAATATGATTCCACTAAGCTACTACAGCATATCAAGATTTAAAAGCCCAGGACTGTAGTACTATGGAATCCAATTTGACAGAACATACCAAGTCTTCTGCTATTATATTGATCTTTCCAACAGCTCTGGAGATGGCATCAAATAAAGGCTTCCTAGGTCCCGCCTACTGTCAAGAAAAAAACTATTTGGAGTGGATTGTTGGGATCGTTAATGAAGGATATCACTATATCTGATATACAGGGACCTGACCTTCCATTGTCCAACCATTGCAATTTTTGCTTCTGCACACGTATGACAAATATATCATAGTCCACACATTACAAGTGTCACGCTAATCCATATAAGTTAACATGCTCTCACCAGAAGGAACAGCCCAAAAGCCGGCAAATCCTCTAAAGTGATCTATCCTGAATTCGTCAAATAAATTCTGTGCACGTCGAACTCGCTGTATCCACCAAGAAAATCCATCTTTCTCCATGGCTTTCCAATCATATAAAGGGCTGTTAACTCAAAAAGTGTAAATTACTATGCAGGCTGATATGCTGACCAAAATTGTCAAAACAATTTAGTGGAAAATTTACATGTATATAACATATGAGGGTAAATGAGAGTAATATGATAACTGATAAGAAATAGGGAATAGATCTTAAATATCAAATGAATCTGATTTGTATCATGTGAGACCTACTGGTAGAAATAAAAAGTGATGCAGCTAGCATAAGCATATCATAAGATAGGATAAAGATCTTTAAAATTTTATTAATGAAAACTAAAAAAATACGTGAATAATAGGTTTAAGTTTGTATCATGTGAGACCTACTAGCAGAAAGAACAAGGGGATGGAATATTAAATACCAATGGGCCAGTGGTCCAGCGGTATCAGGTCCCTACTTCCCAAAGGGAGGTCAGGGGTTCAAGCTTCAGTGGAGGGGTGGGTGTGTGAGTACCAACCAAGAAAAATAAATAAATAAATCAATCCATTTTGTATCATGTGAGACCTACTTATACAAAGAAAAAGTGATGCAGCTAGCAGAAGCATATCATAAGACAGGATAAGATGTTTAAAATTGTATGTGTTTTGTTGCAGACAAACACTAATGTGTTTTATTTCATGTGTGGTTTTAATCAAACAAATTACAATTTGTTTGGAATGCGAAGGAAAAGAACCTAAAGAAAAGTAAATATCATTGTCCTAAATAACATACTGCTGGCAGTTGTGGGTCATTGCGTGACTAACTCATGGTCAGGAGGATTGGGGTTTCTTTTGGAAAATTGAGCAATATATAGGCCTAAGCTTCTCTGCTACAGTAAGTTAGACATATCAATCTGTTTGAAATGGATACAATAAGAAATCTGAAATTACAGGTTTGGTTGCATTTGGTTCTTAAATTATATCAAGGATATCTAAGGATTATATTGCAATATTGCATATGAATTGTCTAAAAGCTACTAACAAAATTTTGTAATTATCTAAGCACCTAAGCCAAGCTTCATTCAATTCAGTGGACTAATAGCAAAAAGCTCAAGGCACCAATCATTGTTTTTGTCACCCCGAGAAAAGTATACATAAAGGTGGAAAAAACTGTTACTAGGCTTATACCATGAAAGACCTAAATTGCTAAGCTTGCCCACCAAGAAAATTTGAGTTGAACCCAAGATAAACCAGGTAAACTGAGCTCAATTTAGAACTAGCTACAAGTTCAGAATGTATTTTAAAAGAACACAGCATTAGCTAATTTAACATAAGACCATTTACAACAAAGATATAGAAAATAATCCTAAGGTTTCTTGGTCGAGTTATTCTTCAGTTAGAGAGAAGAAAATTAGCTGGAAGAGGAGGAAGTCATGGGATGCTGCTCCTAAAGACTGATCTCATGAGGTGTATATGGGGGCGAGAAGAGTTGTGTCAGCGTTCTTTTGAAGGAGTTGAGTCTATTCTGAAACTGAAAAGAAACTTTTAGGGCTTATTATATAGTTGGGTCATGGGGAGAGAACTCTTCCCTCAATTCCTTTTTGGATTTTGTGAAGATTTTGGATTCTTCTATTTTTTTTCTTTTTACGGATTTAAACTTATTGCCCTGTGTACATCAAGATGGCATCCAAATGATTCGTCAAGCTTCAACAATCACACACTTCAGCAAATTGTAATAGACTTAATCATAGGATTTAGGTTGATTAATTACAAGTTTAATGGCCAAAAACTTTCCTAGTTAACCATTAAATTGGATAACCATGTTTAGGAATTGATTAGGAAGTTTGTGATTTGAATTGAAGTTGAAACTACAACAATTTCTAAATTCTGGACTAAGTTGGATTCATACAGTCAATAGACCAATTAATCAAGCCAGAGTAAGAACGATTAAAGATTGGTCCAGTACTTGGTAGTTTTCCAACTGGTCAAGCTCAAGTTTCACTTAATTGAGCTTAAGATCAAATGCAAGCCAGGATCGATTGAGTATCAAGTACATAAGATAAGTCACTAAAAACTGCATTTTATCAAATAAATAACATTAACCAGTCTCTGCAGATTACAGAAGAAAAACATTAATCTGAGTTGCAAAATTACAAAACACTATGGCACCAAGAAATTATTAGGGATGGACAAACCTGTAGGAGATGAGAGTGGTTTAGGCTTTGTTAGCATTTATAGCAAACCCAGTGCTTCTACCACATTTGTGAAAAGTAATGAATTCCCCTAAAATTGTAGTTGACCCTCCTAGGCAATTTTTTTTTTCTTTCTGAAGTTAAAGTGTGTATATATATGTGTATAAAATAATTACAAAGCAGGCTAGAAGCCCAACCCATTGGACAGGGCCAAGGGAGGGAATAGCAAGACAAGAGCTAAGACTGGTATTGTCAGAAGATACACAGGCCCAAGACAATTACAGGTTAGGCCCATTAAATTGAAATTGAGCATTTAATTGAAACAAACATGGCCATTGAGACAACGGCTCTGCAATTTTCCGGTTGAAGCGATGGTAAGGTAAGACCTCGGGCCACAAATGGAATCTTTCACTCTCATTGAAGCCTATCTGTTTCCTATCAAAGTATCAGCTTCTGTTTCTTGGTAGGAATCTCAACAGAGATAGAAGACTCAATTTTTATAATTAAGAGGTTCTACAAAGAAAGTTAGATTCTTGGTTGAAACAGAGAGGGCCTTGAATAATGACATTTAAAATTAAATAAAATTTAGCGACTCTAAAAGGGGTTCATTCAGATTGAATTGGAACAAATTGAATTCCTATAATCAGTTTAATGCCATGGCTGAATCTAGATGGGAGATATAAACAAGAAGTCTAAAACGGCTTGCACATTTTCCTAGTTCAATTCAGTGAACCAGTTCTAAAAATGTTCAATAAGTTTGCACCTAGTTTTTAATATTACATAGAGTTTTCGCGGATATATTCAAAAACAAAGCTTCTATCATGATAGAATTATACCTTAGTCAGAGCATATCGATAAAGAAATTTATGTGCAAGACTTATCTGGATAATCAAGTGCATATACTCACAACAATATGTTATAGTCCATACCTGCCCCACAGCTGACCAGTCTCACTGAAGGCATCAGGGGGTACACCACTAACTAAAAGGGGAAAGCCACTCCTGTTCTGCCAGAGAAGTGAATTGTTAGAGACTGGCAGTGGCAAGAGTGCTTCTGAAGCATACTTAGACAATAGCGTTTTCAGATTTCCTTAAGAAACTACTCACCAGCAAAAAATGTTTCTTATTTGCCCAAACATCTGCACTGTGATAACCAACATAAATTGGCATGTCTCCCATTACACTGATACCTTTCATCTGTGCATAGTTACGAACTTTTTTCCATTGCCTTTGGAATAAGAACTGTTGAGCAATGAATATGTTTATCTGTTTAAATAAAGCATGAATTAGTAGTCATGTCTCACAAGGCGTCTAGCATCAAGCGGGGCAATGATATAAGTATGAGCTCCAAACTAAAGTCAAAGAATCAGACAACTTACGAAATCCTTCTCGTTTTGGTAAATTTCTTCTAAGGCAGCAAGATGGCGATTCTTCAAAGGTTCAGGCCAATCATACCAACTGAATGTATTTAATGTATTGTCAATAGCAGCAAAATAAGCTGCATCTTCAAGCCAACCTGGACAATTGTGAGAAGTTAAACTTTTGAATGACCAAGACCTCTAGCGAACAATAGCTCAAATTCCAGAAAATTTGAGTTATGCTTGTGAAGTTTATTTATATATGTATCCTAATGGAACATAAAATTTCTATTTAGATAATTAAGAACCAAGTCCATCGAGGAGAGATGACCCTGAACATTAAATAGGTAGAAGTTACATTTATATCCTGATCCATTCCAGAACTCTAAATAGACAGCTTCCAGCATGAAAGAGCGAAGACCACACAGTCAATAGAAAACCAGAAACTAACACTTTTTTTCATCCCTTTTTGGTAAGTGAAAGCCTGAAACAAACACATGAAACAACTTCCACTAAGTGCCTACAAATGGCTCTAGTTAGAGTCCAATGCCTAAATTGTGTTCAGTGCTTTCATCGTTTAGACAGCCAGTCTAAAGCACGAATAAAGGTAGGTTATGTTAACTGTCAACAAGAAACTTAAACTTAACACGTACTTAAAGAAACTTGAGTTTGCTTGTAAGTATGGCTTTCTGTAATAGGTAGATTCCAAAAGCTCTCCCTCTCCAAAGTAAAACTCCTTAACCATTTACCAAAAATCATTTTAGTTTATAAGCATTAATGGCCTAACTCTCAAACCAGCCACAATCTTATAATAACCAAAAAAATTACCAATTTACAAGGTGATGCTTCAATCTGTTCCCCAAATCCGCCCAAACTTCTCTAGCTTTAAAAGAGGATCCCGAGGGCATTCCAAGAAAGTACGAACCCCCACCTTATATCCAGGATGTTTCATGTATTCTTGACATCATAGTAAGAAGCAAGGCCTAATTCTTTTAGTATTTTAATCGCAAAAACTATTAGAAAAGAGAAAAGAAAATAGAAAAACTCACATGCAATATCAGGGTCCTTGCAGAAATCTTCAAGTTGACCTCTGAGTTCCCCTTCACTCAGAATGAGCCTCTCTGCAGCCTAAGAAGATATCTATATAAGTAAAAGATTTGTGCAACATTGGTCCAGCCATCACATTTTGAAATGCCAATAGGATGTTGACAGTAAAAGAGCAAGAAGAGAGAGAACATGAAAGAGAGAGAGATTTCTGCTTCACATATTTATTTTATTTTATTTTTTGGTTGACGATGGTGGTGCCATAATCCACCACCAGACACATGCAGTCACCCCGTCCCACATGCACCAAGCAATTATTAGAAAAATTACCTGGGAGTGGCCCCAAGGAGATTCGAACTCCTGACCTCTAGGATGTGAGGGATTTCTGCTTCACTTCGAACATATCAATTCAATTCAATCCAAGACTCGAACAAGGCCACAAGACAGAAAGGGAAATTTTCCCAATCCCAAAATCACACCAGGAAAAGAAAAAAGGAAAATTAAATGTACAAGCTAATTTCAGAAACTCCAGTGAAATAGTTATACACTGTCAAAATAAAGCCCATATTCGTTGTATAATTGTTCTTGAATTAACCTTCTACATCTAGTAATAAGTCTACTCAGTTACTACAGCAGCTAATAAGATATTCAGAATGTAGGAATTTTAAACTGTCCAGCACACCACAACTGATTCCACTTTTCCCAGTGCACTACAGCATGCGAACCCAGACCAAGCTGAGGACCAGAGATGCACATTTCTGGCCCATTCCTGAAAAATGAGCGTTGGATGGAAAAGATGTTTGAACTCCCTTGGCTCCTAAAACGACAACCAATATTTGTTATCAACTCTTCATCCTCTAATGTTCAATTGATCAAACAAAAAATTAAAATCCTATGAGCTGCTACCAGAAATGAAAAGGTATGTTAGTAGAGAATCGTGATCTGTTATCCCATAAATGAAATAAAACGTGCCTAAGGCCTTATCTCTGCAAAATGATTCCAATTTTTAGTGTACCAACATGAATTTATACGCCTAGAAATATAGCCATTGGACATGTCTACAACCCTTAACTTCTATTTGAACTTAAATTACACTCTTATTTTCATCCTTTTCTCACTCATCTGTCTAGAATTTCCAAGTACTATTTAATCTTCACCCCCTTTCTATCTCAATAACAAAAAGGAACATAGCATGCATAAAGTAGGGAGGTGTTTGCAGGTGGCGATGGTGGTGGAGGTGAAATTGGTTATCAAGGTAAGTTTGGAAATGGTGTGACAGTTGGCGTAGGTGGTGGTGGAGTTGCTGATTGTGCGATGGCAAAGTGATAGGTCTACTGACAATGGCAACTAGGTGGTCATGGTGATAGTATAATTCAGATTTAACCAATTTAATCAACAACAATGTCCAAAAATTAGTTATAAATAAAGGATTAGTATTGGAGAAAAAATATTAATCTTCTAGAAAATTATGTAAATTGTTGACTCAAAGATTTTGACCTAAGGGCAATCTAGTAATTTTGATGATTACAAACCATTAATAGTGTTTAGGCAATCATAACATTTGTAGCATTCCATTACACATGAAGACATTAATGGTGAAGTTATGGACATGGAAATGACTTAAAGTTGCAAAAGTCAAAGCATAAAAAAGAATCCCTAAAGTTCAATGATCAATGCCAAAGCTTGAAGAAAGGGGTCGATAAGTTGGTGAGTGCTTAGGATTCATTTGTCAAAGTATTTATGAATTTTTTTATTATGCTTATCTCTATAGGATCATGCATAAATCATTCATACCTCTACCTTTGATCCTTAAACAACCTAAAAGTAGGTCATGAACATCATTGATATATTCACAAAACCTAAATGGAGTTCAAGGCCAAAGACACCTTAAAAAGGGTCTATAAGTCAATTGGCCCAATTATTAGACAGTGAGCATATTAAGTTGAATGGTCGTTCCAGCTGCCTGAAACTTGGTTTTAGCCTACCGATTTAATCATGTCAGTCGGCCGATACTTCCATCAGCCGACCGAAACCTGGTAGTTTGAAATCCAAGGGCTAGTTTTGCATTGAATGCTCTACTACTCCTAACAGCCATTTTCTGGCCAGAATTCTATATATATGGACTGTGTATTTATGGAGAAAATATGCATGAGTTGAGAAACATTTATGAGCATTCAATACAATCTATGATTCTCTCACTCATTTCATAAATATAGTTGAGCTACAACTTGATTTCATCTTTACTCTAGTCTTGTGAGCATTTGATTTGTATATCAATCTTTGAGAGATATTCCTGTACCACAAATTCTTCCTACAATCTATTATAAAGGGTTGGTGTGACCCAAAGGAAGCCTAAGAAAAGGTTTTTCTCTTAGCAAGAAGGAAAGAAGCAAGTTTGCTTCATTGTAAAGGTTTGCTCTCCACCCGAAAGGAGAAGCCATAGTGGATTTGGGAAAGTCTCAAGTAATCTTGAGCCGAGGAGTAGGAGTTCCGAACCTCGCTAAATCGGCGTGTTAATAGTCTGCAATCTCTCCTCCCTTATCTCATATTAAATTGTGACTATATTGCTTAACTTGTTATATTTGATCTTGCATAATTTTATATAGATATTGCTTAGACTTGCTAAATCTATTAATCAGAAAATTGACCATCGTTTGTACTTCATTTTTCATACATCACCTGCTGAACTTTAACCTACATGTGGAAGTACAACAAAAGCTTGCAACCGTGCCCACTTTACATGTTACCTTGGCTATCAAAGGATCTTTTATTTCAGCAACGATTGAGAAATCCACACGTTCCACATCTCTGCAAGAATAATACGGTGATAAAAAGGCAAGTAGTAGGACTATAGAAACTAACCAGATACTACTATGCACCCACAGTCAGAAACTCTTACACTGGTTCTGGAAGCTCTTCTTTCATCAACAAACCATCTTTTACAAGCTCTTCAAGAGAAATTAGAAGGGTGTTACCACAATTCGCATCCTGATAATAACAATTAAGAACAGGTACCCTCAGTTGCACAATAGATACAATTGGACTTATTCCTAAACAGTCAGGAAAATAGCATGCTAAATAGTTGCTCAATAGGCAAGAGCTGTACCTCTTAATATTAAACTAACTGAATATAAATACATATGGTGTTTTTAGGACTGACCACCAAATAGCTTATACATAAGAAATTCAATTAATGACTGCCAACAATCTCAAATATTTAGGGCCAGTCATATTATGGACATATTACAATTGCGATCTTTTCAGCCCAGTCTAAGAAATTTCTGCTTCTCTTTAATTAAGTTTTCTTCCCCACAGATATTCTTTTTTATTTTTTATGATAACCGGGGGAAAAAAAAAATTAAAAACCATGCAAGCAGATGAAAATAATATTATATACTTCAATGATATGATTTTAATGAAAATGTCACCTGTCCAGAGTATGGGGAACCCTCTTCATTAGCCTTCCTCCCTGGAGGAACAAGAGGAAGGACCTGCATAAACATGAATGTAATACTTCAATAATATAAATGGAAATCGGACAGGAATTAAAAAGGTAAAGTTGCAGTTTTACAATAGATGTCGAACAAAGGCTGAGTTGAATACAAAAATTAACAAATTGGTGGTTGTTTATTAAAAAAAACCAAAACATCTAAACCCAAATCACTTTAAACCAATTATGAAAATATTATTGGATCAACCCATTGAAATCTCTTGATTGAAGTTATATTCATGGGAGAAAGATTCATTATATGACAGGGTCTGCTTTAAGAGGAAAGATAAAAATAAATAAAAAAATAAAAATAAAAAAGAATTGGTTCAAGATTTTCTGAAAATTGTTGTTCTATGAAAGCTGAGTTAAAAAAAATGTATGAATTTTTATTAGGGCCCGTTCGGTTCAATTTTCTATTCTCAGAGAACTAGCAAATGTAAACAAAATTCATTTGGTTGAGTTAGAAAAAGAAAAACACTATTTTCAGAAAACAGTCTAGTCCTTAAAATTGTTTTCGGCTTCCAGAGTTCTTGATTAAATATAATAAATCCAAAAAGTAATGTAGCAAATAATAAATAAATAAAAGTAGAAAGTTATATTCATTGAAATAACTTTCTACTTTATATTCATTGAAATCTCTTGATTGAAGTTATATTCATGGGAGAAAGATTCATTGTATGACAGGGTCTGCTTTAAGAGGGGAAATAATGAAAAAAATAAAATAAATAAATAATAATAATTGGTTCAAGATTTTCTGAAAATTGTTGTTCTATGAAAGCTGAGTTAAAAAAAGGTATGAATTTTTATTAGGGCCCGTTTGGTTCAATTTCCTGTTCTCAGAGAACTAGCAAATATAAACAAAATTCATTTGGTTGAGTTAAAAAAAAAAAAACACTATTTTCAGAAAACAAAATTGTTTTCGGCTTCCAGAGTTCTTGATTAAATATAATAAATCCATAAAGTAACGTAGCAAATAATAAATAAATAAAAGTAGAAAGTTTTTTGAGCACGGAATTTAATAAATTAGAAATAGAAACGAAAGCTCTCTGAATATGAACAAAATCAACCTAAAGTAATAAATCTATTTCAGATTCTTTGAAAAAATCAAATATGTACACTCAAATATATAATAAATATACATATATACATACACATTAATTGTTAAAGAAAATTGAAGTGCATGAACGTATTAATGCAATAAATGGACCTGCCAAACAGAGCAACCAGTTTCGTGAAGCCAATCAAGGAAGCGAAAGGTCTGGTCGCCAAGATCTCCGATGCCGTAGGGCCCGGAAAACGACGTCGGGTGGAGGAGGACGCCGGCTCTTCTGCGGTCGCTAGGATGGGACTTGGGAAGCCAGTCGGCGTAGTCGACCGGCAAGTCCTCGCCGACGGCAGCGAGGTCGGCAGAGAAGGTGGAGGAGTTGTTGAATTGCATCGTGAAAGTTCTCCTTGGGTTGTTTTGGGGGAGGCGATCGAATAAGAGTAGATTAATGGTGGAGGTTGAAGAGAGAGAATATGAGGAGTTGAAGAGTTTGGGAGGAGAGAGAGAGGAGGATAGGAATGAGAGAGAACCATGAAGAGCCATGAATTAGCATAACAAGCTCGATCGAGAGGGGGGGGTGAGAGAACTGGAGCTGGAGACTGAGCTTCAGGTGAATGAACTTGGAATTTATGAATGATTATGGGCTGGAGACTGAGCTTCAGGTGAATGACGGGCACTTGGAATTTATGAATGATTATGGGCTGGAGAATGAGCTTCAGGTGAATGATGGGCACTTGGAATTTATGAATGATTATGGGCTGGAGACTGAGCTTCGGGTGAATGACGGGCACTTGGAATTTATGAATGATTATGGGCTGGGTGTTGCATTGAATTTATGAATGATTATGGGTGTTGCATTTTGTTTGTATGTTAAATTATCCAAATATATATATTAAATTTATAGAGTAAAACTTAAAAGTGTTGTGGATGCACAGTGAAATATAGTTCACAAATTTTTATTTGAGAAAATTCAAATTTTTAATTAAGAAAATTTTAAGTGTTTCGATTCGATAATTGAATACTCAAATTCATTAATTTTTCTCATCATAATTTTAAGCAAGAGGGACATAAAATAAATGAGAATAATACAGTAACTGTTAATTGTTTTTTTTTAAATACCCAATTATATTTATATAACCCTCTTTTATATGAATATATGATTATTTTAACAGTCTAATTTTTTTTTTTTTTCTTAAAGAATAGCTGCTTTATAAATGTGTTTTCATACAGTATACTACAATCTCTCCATATTTATCTCAATTTAGTTTCATCTTTTCAGTGTAATTGTAATTGATATATACAGTGAGAGAGGAAAAGTAATTATAGATCTTAATTCTCACACAAATTATCAAACGGTGTTTTCATCTTCCTCCCTTATTTGAATCATAACTTCAAGCCTTCAACAACTACTTGAATATGTTAGATTTGTTATTTTTCCCGGTAAATTTATTTTTATTTATATTTATTTATTGGAGGTTAGTTGCTCATTCATCCTATAGATAATAATATAAACCGTGGAAGCTATTTACACTTTTTAATTCCTGATCTGATGACATTTTTTTTGTGATCCGATCCTATATATTTGGATCTATTACACAATATTGTTCTGGAATGTAGTGTTGATCAAGAGCTCTCCAAGTGTCCGTGAATCTTCAAAAGCAAGTTATTTATTTGACAAATTACACTCATTCTCTATGATATTTAAACAAAGAAAAATTATTGAGATCTGGCACTTAAATGACAATCTTGTCATTTGACTCATTCATAATATAATATGTTATTATGACATAAAGATAATCACAGACTCGGAGTATATCCATGTGCTTGGTATAATTTACTCAAACCATTGAGGAGGTTTTTGTAATTTTATCCTTATTTATTAGGTACTTAGTATATCACAAGAAAAGCCTGTTACATTCTTAGAAAAGGCAAACAACCGTTGTGATAATGAAAGACTACTACAAAAACCAAAAAAAAAACACATAGAATTGGATCCACTAACGTACACGAGAGGGTTCATGGTTGTCCAAAGATTATTATGGTCTCATTTTGAAACCTTCCAGGGACGGACATAGGTTGTTTTTGTTCATTTGAGAATTGAGAGTGGTTCATGCTTGTCCAAAAAGCATATAATTGGATTCACTAACTTACACCGGGGGCGGCCCACTGATTTTTTTTTTTATTTATAAATTTTTTTATATTTTTTTGTTAAAATCTAAAAAAAAAAAATACTCTTACTAAATTTTTGATAAAACCCTACTAATTATTTATTTTTGTTCAAATTCACCTCCTCTCGTACCATTTTTTTGGGTATACGAATAATCTCTGGAGCTGAAGGAATTCAAATCCAAACATAATGAGGATTAAGTTATGATGATTAAATTTTCTTTTGTTATATCCTTTAGTTTTTTATTTCATTGTCTTGTTTGAGAATTTGATTTTCCATAGCATATTCTTTGCCATTCAACAACGTTGGTTTGACAGCCCTTACGAAATTTATATCTTACCATGAATTAACTACTATTGAATTTCGGTTTTATTTAAACTTTAAACTATTTTTTTTTTTTATTTGGTGACCACGGCAACACTCAAATGTGATTTTGTGGGTATTTTAAATTGAGACATGCAATATGACATATAAAAAGTTTAGGAGTTGATGTGTAAGTTATTTTAGTTAGTTATTAATAAAATATTTTATTTTGTAAATAATTTACTAATCAAACACTAAAAAATAAAAATAAAAATATTTTATATCTAAAACCAAAAGAGAAATAGAAAATGAAAAACTGAAATAGAAGCAAATGGAAGAAACTTTATAATGAAATAATCACATCCACACAACTCTGCGGAGATGTACATCAAAATAGGAAATTAAAGCACTTAAAATTAGATGAGAATAATATATGTAGATCACTTAAGATGTTTAATTTGTCTGAGGAGGAGGGCCTTTGGGCACGCTTGGCCGTCTCGGACCTTTTCCTGGTTTCATCTTAATGGCTCTTGATTGCACACCTACTTTCTGTATCTAATCAACATCAACAGATCTCAACTCCAATAATCTTTGGTACTATAACATAATCATATATATATACACACACACACACACATATACACCATACCTTCACAGTCTTCAAATCAGTTTCCTCTCCATCTACAATTCCTAGAAAGAGACAGAATGAAATGTATCCAAGTGAATACAGAAATACATAAAAATGTAAGTTTTCCGAATGGAATATATATATATATAGTTTCACCTTGAGCATTGTTGCAAGATTTGATGGCTTCAACCAGATTGACAAACCTCTTCTTCAGACTCCCAGCAAGTTTCTCCATTTAATTAATTAATATATTTTTCTGGGTTTTAGTAGATCGAGCTCAAATGAGCTTTATAGCTAGCCGGTAATGCCCAGCTGTTGAGACTGATCCAAATGAAGTCATTTACATCAAAGTCTGGCACCATGTGCTTGGTCTTATTTTGTATTGGAAATACAATATGTAATATTATATTTCAAGCTAGCTAGTACTTATTGTTTCTGAATGGTAGGGTGAAACTACTCAATTGCTGCTACTTTTCTTTTTCTTTTTCTTTTTTTAATAAATAAATAACGAAAGGGCCTATTTAATTATGGCATTCATGATAAATGTTAAATTAATAATTAGTCTTATCTTAAACCCTAGTACTTCTAAAAAATGAAAGATATATCACCCGACAAAAGCCTTTACTGATTGATGTCTGTGATCGTCTCTAAACACCATAAGGCTTAAGAAATTTTTTAAAGATAGATGTCGGGAAGCAGAATTAATCCAGTGTACGTTGGATTGTTGACTTACCAATAGAAAGCGTGAGCTGAATTTAGACCGTCATGAAATAGGTTATGTCCGACCCTAATACATAATTTTCTTCATTAGCATAATTTAATTTTATTAAATATGATTTGCATATGAACATTTTTTCGTGCACTTACATTTGGTAGCATGTCTAGAGTGGGGTTGTGAAGTTCTAGTGTGTGTTGAGTTTACTAATAGCAGCCAATTGAAGATAATAATAATATTATTATTATTATTTATTTGTACAGCAGGTGGTGCGTGGGTGTTAGTGTGTGTGTGATACTATAAAGTGTTGGATTTAGTAAGTATAAAATGAAGTGGGTGCAGATGATATTGAAAGTATATAATGATTAATTTATAAAGAAGTTTTATATTGATATCATGTATTATATTATTTTCTGAATAGTCTTCATAATACATATTCAGAGAGGTGATGAAAAGTCGTCGTCCATCACAGCAATAACCTAGCCGGTCATAATTATTGGATCAATGAGAGAGACAAAATAATTTGGTGTTATTTTGAACCAAATTATGTTATTGACTAAATTGGATTGAACGCCACCGATGAGGGCGTCAATAGGTTTATGGAATCGATTATCTATAACGAGAGCAAGGATCGGTTGATCAGTTCCTTTGCGAAACAGAGATGTAATCTTGATCTGTACTCTTCCAATATGAAAATAACGGGAGAGAGGATTTTGCTGTCGCCATCATGCAACTTTGTCAGTATTGAGGATATTAAATCCACATCTGCCATACAAGGTGTAATCGATGGTAGTATCACCGCTGAATTGTTTAAGAATTCGTTTAGAAAAGATAAAGAATTTGGAAGTTTTGTAGACTTCTTCTTTCTTGAGCTTTTGGAGTTTAGCGAACTGAATGAGTTGTTCGTTTGTAAACTGGACTTCTTCACCAATAACACTACTTAATTTAATGTTAGAGGTTTCGTCAGGTTGCGAAGAAGTAAACTGCATCATACAGACATCTTCATCGCTATCACTGGAGTCAGAAGACTGACTAGATTGACTAGAAATTTCATAAAGAATGTCATCAGAATCGGAGAGATCACTGCCATAAACGACACAGAGATCTTCTGCGTTAAGGTGTTTGATAATTTTGGATGCACTTTTGCCTTTGTGTGTACAATTGGGTGCAATATGTCCAGGTTCATTACAAATATAACATTTGCAATCTTTTTTTATTTCGGGAGCTTTCTTGCTTTTGCGTCCTTTACGTTTAGCAGGAGAGGTAGAAGAAGATGTTGGTTTAACATACTTTTTGGATTTCTGAATAGGCTTTTTACCTTTCTTCCATTTGCGCCATTTAAACTGTTTGGGTTTCCTACGGCGTGAAGTGGTAGATCGGCTGGGTGCACAGCCAACTTTCCAAGTTTCTTAAAGAATCTTGTCACAACAACGATGTCCTTCTGGTGTATTGATGATTTGATTCTTAACCTGTTTTTTGGCTTTAGTTTCTAAACATTTTTCGTTAATCAGATGATAAATGAAATTAGTACGATAGCCAAGGTAATCAGTTCATTTGATACGGACAAGAAAGTCGAGATAGCCTTTAATGGCTAATTCATCCCAAGGACTTGGAAATTTATGGAAATATTGGGGTAACCAATGTTCCATAGCATTAGGAGGAAGACGTCTAAAATATTTACTGAATATCTTGACGTATTTTGGAAATTGGCAAATGTCGCATCATTCAATTTTTGAAAGAGCGAAATTAGCGTCATCGGAAAGAAGAAGTTCATCGGTATAGCCAACTAGTTCTTCTTTGAGGATTTTGACAAAACCACGTAAAACACCGTCTAGGTTGTCGAAGTTGTTAAGGAGCTCGTCTTTTTGTCGCTGACCTTGAGAAGTTTGATTCCATTGTCGTCGCCAGTCAAGAGCATCGCCTTGTAGGGTTGCTGAGATGTAATCGAGAAAACGATCCCGTTTCCAGCTGGCTTTTTGGTTATTAACCAGAATTGCCAATGATTGTGCCGTTCGGTCTCAATACTGCACCTCAGATATATCAAAGATGAATGGACAAAATCTTTAATGACCTTAAAGACTTTGTTGTTGTTTACATCGATGATATCTTGGTCTTCTCTAAAACAAGAGAAGAACATAAAAAACATCTCCATTATCTTTCAGAAAAACTGAGAAACCATGGAATCATCTTATCTCCAACAAAGATTTATGTTGAACAGGAATCTATTGATTTCCTTGGCTTAGTTTCAACCCAAAAAGAAATAAAACTACAGGACCATATCATTATTAAGATTCGTGATTTCCCTGATATCATTCAAGATAAAAAGCAACTACAGAGCTTTTTAGGAATCTTAAATTATGGTCACACCTTTATTAAAGATTTGTCTCAAAAGGAGCTCCATTTAATAAAGAAGCTACAAAAAGATAAAGTGTTTGATTGGACCAATAACGACACCACCGTTGTCCAACAAATCAAACGGGATTTAATCCATATTTCTGAAGTTTATTTTCCCCAAAATGGTGATAAACTTATTCTTGAAACAGACGCCTCTGACTTTTGTTGGGGTTGTGTGTTAAAAGCTATTCCACAGGACAAGTGGAAAGAAGATATTTTCACCGATCATCAGATAAGAGCACGCAAAACTCCTATCTCAAAAATACTTCAAAAGAAAGAATTGATTTGTAGATATAATTCTGGGAAATTTAAACCAAATGAACAGAATTATATTATTTATGAAAAAGAATTTCTGGCAATTAAATTAGCAATAAAAAGATTTCATATTTATCTTGCACCAGAAAATTTTATTATTCGAACTGATAATCAAGCAGTTAAAGATTTCTTTATAAACAAAAAGAATTGTTTAGATGGACGTCGATTAAAATGGTACAATGTAATTGCCCAATATTCATTTTCTATTGAACATATTAAAGGTACTAATAATTTTTTTGCAGATTTTTTGAGCAGAAATTACAATGAGATATCTAATCCAGATATGTCTGTGCCTACAGATGAGTAATCAAGGTAAAAAGCCTTGCCTTAACAAAGATGGCTGGATCACTATTGCTAAAAAGGCAATCGATACACCAACTCCATCACAGCCAAACAAATGGTTTGTAGTTTTTGCTGGTCACCAACCAGGAATTTATGCCGAATGGAACGACTGTCACAAACAGTTGCGATCTTTCCCTGGCTCATACTTCAAGGCTTATGACACACTTAAAAATGCTCATCATGTTTTCTATAACGTGGGTAAAGCCTCAAAAAAAATGTTTTCACAACTCCAGGAGCAAATAGAGATAAAAGACTTCTATGATCCCGGACTTCCAAACAATTTTTATAATGAAATTAATAATGTTTGGAAATGTCATAAAATCGGTGCTAATAAGAAATTCAGGCAACACCTGAATACTCTTACATCTCTTGTAGCTGAACAAACAGCCATGACTGATGAGCTTAAAAAACTTTGCATCCAAATCTGTCTCACAATCGACTAGGAAAAAGATTTTACTTTATCACAAATAAATTATTTTCTAAAACTTGCCCAGTTAGTTGGAGAATTAGATTTTCCACAAAATACGTTTGCAAAAATCAATTGTATATGTCTTCTTGAAAAAGTAAGAAACATTTTTCCTCCTGAACTTTTCCGAATCATCCTTTCCAAAGCATTGGATCATTCTGTCACAATAAAAAAAATTTATTTTGCAAACCATGAAGACATCAATACCTTTGATGTTATTTACAACAGGAAAAAAGTCCCAAAAATGACTTTTTTCATTGTCCCCAGTTTTCCCTGGTCAATGGAACCTGTCGATTAGGGAGTAATTAACAAAATTACTTTCTCATCTAGTGACTCTTACAAGGATTTTCCTACAATGATCAAATCAATGATCTACAAAGTCAGTTCTCAATGGCAGTACAGTCGAAATCTCACTTTTTGGATTTCTAGTACTATTGGATGGCGAGAAAAAACTCGATTCTTCCAACCCTATCAGATCTGGTTTCTGAAACTCACAGAAGCAGATGAATATGAACATACAAGGATTTTCAACTCAGAAGACATTGCCAATGGTATCCAGCCATATGAGCTTGCAATGCATAATCTTCTTGACATCCAAGACAAAGCTCGCAGAATCCTAAACGGAACCTTCAATAATTATAACCAGCTAGGTTATTGCTGTGATGAACGACGACTTTTCATCACCTCTCTGAATATGTATTATAAAGACTATTCAGAAAATAATATCTTAATCGCCCATGCACTTTTAAAAAAAATCGTGGCCAATACCATTGATATTCCTGAAGTTATCCGAAGTGGTGCTGATGATATCAATCTCGAATGGGATATCGCTGGTGCCCAATCTCCAGTTAGTACTCCTCCCCTTGTTGAAAATGAACTCCATAATCTCATCAATGCAATGGAAGGATAATCTGACGTGTCACTCTTCTTCTGATCAACTGCAGACCATCCAGCACACGATAAGAAGAGCTGTCACATCCACTATTCATCAATAGTGAAAAGTAACCGACAAACTATTCATCAACAGTGAAAGTTGCAGACCTCCACTTTAAGGAACAGTAAAAACAAAGATTTTTTCTTATTATCTCAAATACTGTTTACCTTTTGTATTGTTATTTAAACCGAGACTCCACTAAGGTTTCGGCATCTGAAGTTTTTATTTTCTGTCTTGTCTTCTCTCTCTCTTGTAAACATTCTCAGTTTTTATATTTCTTTGTAATCCGCATTTAATATCTGTAATTGGTATCAGAGCCGTACCTCGAGCTTGGACCACTATTGTAAGCTTTCCTTCTTATATTTCAGTACTATTACAGTGTTAGTATTGTGCTTTAATTACTGTTATAAATCTCATATGTTTGATTAC